ACAAGATAATATAAAGTACAGCACAAAATGTAATTATCTACATATTTGTTCATTATGTGGGGTATAGATAACTGTCATCTTGCCATTACCCTGTTCTCCACCCACATTTCCCTCAAAAATGATTGTAAATAAATAAAATAATCTAACGCTCCATAGCTTTGGGTTAATAAATCGATTCGTTTCTGAACAACACAGAAGTATGCTTAACATTTATTTTAGTGTACTAGTAATTATACATGTTTTGATCGTCGTAGTCTCGCAGCCAGGTGTTTGCATGCAAGTAATGAGAGTGCAGGATAATTGAGATAAATTTAAAGAGAACTAATTTATCTTTCTACTGCGAGGCCCTCCGCCCACATAAAAAACACATCTTTATCCTTATAATGTAAATGTATATACATATATATATATATATTTCACACTTGTTATAACTCTCGGCCAATGAATTGATTTAACCGGTCTTTTCTAAATTCCCCAAGTAAGTTTGCTTAACATACTTATACAACCAGTCATACCAGCTTTGATCTTCGTAGTCTCGCAGCCAGGTGTTTACATACAGGTAATAATAGTGCAGCACAGTTGAGATTCAGCAAAGCAGCAGAGGCACGTGACACACACAAAGTTCTCTAAAAACACAAATAAATCACATTTTATGTAAAATTTGTTTTGTTACATGTTTAATAAATACTTTTTCATTTTTTGGTTATGAATAACATCATCTGAGCAGAGAAATGACTTGGCCTATTTGGGACTCTCAATGTATCCGCACTCTGACAATTTTTGAACTATATAAGAATTTGTATATTAATAGTTTTTACGGAGTTACAAAATAATATTAGGGCACAAACATCATTACTCTTCGTGAACCATGCTTATATTAGTTTTGTTTTCTGTTTGTGTTATTGTAAATTCAAAAGTAGTAAAAATATAACAAGAAGAATCGTATAGATAATTTTTGTGGATCAACTATTTTAGTTTCATTTTATGGGACGTACCCACACATCGCATGTCCGGACAATGTGGTTGGCTGATTTCAAACAGTATAATATGAAGAGGTTTACATGCAATATTTCATAAATCTTTTGAGAATCACCTTGGGCAATATGATAATAATATACAATGTCTCTAAGCGCTTTACAGAATTAAACTATTACCCCGGTCATTGGATTCAGTGCTTGCCCGCACACAATGTGTGCACAATCTCCACTCCCTGGGGAGCATCCCATCCAGGCGTTACTTGACGCTCAAAAACTGTTTGACCAACAATGACGGTCGCATCCTACCGGGTTCCCATTTAACACATGGGTGGAGAGTAGCAAGCGCAGGTTAATATCTTGGAAATTAGTGCCGTGTCGGGATTCGAACCTTCGCATCTCCAGTCAAGCGCCTTAAACCACTCGGCCACGACAGTCCTACATATCAAGACAAGTATTTATGATGCACTATAGGGCTATTTGATGAATTATGTCGTTAAATCTAAAAGCAACATTAACAGCCCTGTTTCTGTAAAGCGTCCGGATAAGTTCCCATTTCATTTATAAGAATAATAATATGATATGATTTCATTACAGTCTAGCTTTCGTAAATTGATGTAACTTAAGTTGCATGACAAAAAAATGCTCTCAAAACAAATATGGCGTACAGCTGGTAGTAAATGTATCATATTCAAATGAAGCTTATATTGTAATGATTAATGATTAATAATATAATTGAAACAAAAACAACGATTTGACTTCTTAAGAACTCTTCTAAACTAAAATTTGTCTATTTAAAGGGAAAGTCCACCCTGAAATTAAGTTAGTTTTAATAGGAGTAGAAAAATGAGAGAAACAAGTCAGTGAAAGTTTGAGCAAATTCCGATTAAAAATAAGGAAGTTAGGATTTTTGAAGTTGTGATCAATCAAACACAAATTGGCAACTCTATGACGTATCATGCGAGCTCAACTTCCATTTGCTCAGTACTAAAAAAATCTAAAATTTTCATTTTCCCTCAAGAAAAATTTCAACCATACATGCACCCTAAATATAATAATTGCAAATATGTTTCTATACTCCCCCTGCAAGGAACAAATATATATTCCGTCATCAATAACGAAGAAAACATGATTTTATGGAATATTATGCACAAAGCAAATGAAGGAGAGCTCGTATAATAAGTCACAGAGTTGCCAATTTGTATTTGATTGATCACAACTTCAATAATTCATAACTTTCTTATTTTCATTCAGAATTTGCTCAAACTTTCACTCACCTGATTTTCTTATTATTCTGCCTCTATCGAAACAAACTTATTTTGGGGGTGGACTTTCCCTTTAGAGCGATTAGCGATGACGGTGATAAAACAATGACATTATTTTGATATAGTATATACCACTGATAAATCGTATTAGTTTCATATACTTCGGTGATAAAATGCTGCAACTAAAAAAGCATCATTAAGCTTTCATATGCTATAAACGACAATTATACACTGAAAGTACTATCAGCTGAAGGTTTCACATTGGAAATTCATCATTATCAAACAGACAACTAACACACATATTCATGAAATTAATTGAAGTCTAGCCCTCCTCCGAACCTCCCACTTCCAAATGTATCGATCAATCTTCCTCTTTGCTTTGAAGTACAGTTTCACTTGCACGTTGTCTACTCAGAGTGTTACTTATGGAAATAAGATTACGCTTTTTAATAAATTCAGGCGTTTCATTGAACTGTGACTGTTCAGAGTGAACGAACATGGCTGGAATCTCCTTCCTCTCTTAATTAAACAGTACGAAACATCTTCTTTGGTGCCCCAATTCCCAGAGGCTTGTGAAAAACAAAGGTAAAGCGATGTGTTTCTTCCTACATTTGTATTTGTTAAAACAACTAAGTGTGTTTTATGTGTTCTTTTGTGATTTTTAAAGGTGGTACATTTTGGCATGACTAATATTATTGCACTGTAAACAACTTTATGACAAGCTTAAACGTTAAGCTGACTTTTAAATACATGTATATAAGCAATCACAACGAATAATCTGTTTAAAAAAGACACTCGTTTTCAGGAATGAAAAAGAAAAGGATTGTACTTCAATCGACAGCTCATGTTATTTTGTGAGAAAATTAGCTTGGTATGGTTTTCCTTCTTTTGCAGACAGGAATCGGTCATCATGGCTTACAAACACCCACTGCTTATTCTCCATTTGGTGATCATTTTAACCCAAACCTTGCACGGGGTTGCGACATTGGTTCCCTTCAGGAGCTTAAATCTGGATACTTCTCTTCAGGGATGTGAAGAGGACTTTGAACGAAAGACAGTTTTCTGCGTCGACCTAGGGTTCAATTCTGTACCCCAACATCTTCCAGAGTATACTAAGGGTTTGTGGCTAATGCGTAACAACATCACATCCCTTCTGAGCACCTCATTTAGAAGATATCCTCACATTACCGATCTGGACCTATCCCACAACGACATTAGGGTAATAGAATCCACAGCTTTATATCCTCTCAAGGATTTATCCCGCTTGGACATGTCATACAATAAACTTGTGCTTCCAGGTAGAGGCTTTTTCAGATGGGCAAGAAAGCTGTCGCTCTTAGATGTGTCTCATTCAAAATTGACATCGATTCCTAATGACATTCTAAAATGGAGTCCAAACTTGCATACTGTGTTCCTTAATGATAACCTACTCACAGTCATAAACATAAGCACATGTGGCACAGCAAGGCATGTCGACTTGTCTTATAACTCGATAGAAAACCTCACAGAATATGCTTTTAACTTCGTGTGCAACTCAAATATTCTGGATTTAACTGGAAACCCCATCAGATCAGTGGACCCAAGCGTAATTTCATCGCTTCATGTCAGATCATTTATATTAGGGTGGCACAAATTGACAATCGAGGAACTGAGAAACATATTCATCGGTATCTCCCATTCATTGATAAAGACATTTAAATTGACCCGTGGCGCTGATTTGAGCGTCGTTCCGGAAGATCTATTTTATCCCCTGCACGATTGTTCTCTTGAAATACTCGACCTCGACACGAATCAACTATGTGCCCCTTATCCTCGCGTCTTCTCGAATCTGACAAGTCTCAGGCAATTTCATCTTCAGAACAACGGTATAGTTACAATCGAACCAGATTTTTTTGAGGGCATGCACAATTTAAGAGTGTTAGACTTAAGATATAATAATATTAAAGATATAAACACAAAAAATCTTTTATGGACAATAAATTTAACTGAGTTAAACATATCCAGCCAATTTACAAGACAGAGTACAATAATTAGAAAATCTGCATTTCGGGGTTTGCATAATCTAACACTTTTAGATTTGCGCTCAGACAAATTCCTAGACACGTTAGAGGCGACATCTTTTTTGGAACTTAAAAGCATTCAAACTATTTATTTGTCAGAATGCGATATCGAACCATTTAAAGTGATGATCCCATCAAGCGTAACATCACTTTTCCTAAATGATATGGTAAATCCCCTGGGTCTCGAAAACCTAACGACATCCTTCAAAAATGTACAACTCCTGGAACATTTAGAGATGAGACAGTCGGGGCTTTTGCGTCACAACCTGTGGAACCCAAAAGTGAATGTCTCTCTATTCGACGGATTGTTCAACCTTACGACTTTGGATCTGAGCGAAAATTGGTTATATGTACTCATGGATCCCAGGATCCTGCAACAACTTTCCGCTTTACAAAATCTTTCTCTAGAAGACTGCCACCTTGAACACCTTCATCCACAAGCATTAACTGGATTAAAATCACTTCGGGTTCTAATATTAAGAAAGAACAAACTTCAGCAGCTTCACTCCGATTTATTTAAGTCATTATATCAATTGACAAGCATTGATCTTGCTGATAACTTTTTGATGGACCTTGATGGAGCGCTCTTTTTGAGTAATCGAAGGTTAAAAACTCTTCTGCTATCAAACAACAAATTATTTAGTCTCGAACAAAATACTTTTAAACCGATCTATTTTTCTCTGTTATTCATCGATCTTTCAATGAACCCTATCGATTGTAACTGTGATCTCAGCTGGTTTCTTGATTGGCTAAACGGACCACTTAGCCTCACTTTCGTAGATGAGGACGATTTCGACGACGACAAAACCATCTGTTCATCGGCATCCTTAGAGCCTCTTCGGGGCAAGCATCTAATTGATTTTGATCCTAGAGAGTTCTGTAGCATCAACATCGCACTCGTATGTTTGCCTACCCTCGCCATCATTTGTCTGATTTTCACCGTCGCACTCGTATACCACAACCGGTGGCAGCTGAGGTACAGACTGTTTCTTTTCAAACTGGCAGCTGTTGGCTACGAGGAGATGCGGGACGCTAGAGATCATAATGATTATGAGTATGACTTAAATGTCATATTTTACGATGATGACGAAGATTGGATTCGCGAACATCTGCGACCAGCTCTCGCAGAACAGCTTCCGCAGTTTCAGAGGAGTGTCTTTGGTGATGCGGACCTCATACCGGGAATGCATTACTTAGATGCTGTTGACTACGTGGTGAGTCATAGTTACAAAACCATCGTAGTGCTCAGCAGAGCTGCTGTTCGTGATCGCTGGTTCATACTCAAGTTCCGTACGGCCATGGATCACGTGAGTGACACTCTGACTGAATTCGTTGTCGTGGTCTTCCTCGAAGACATCCCAGATGATGAAATGCCGTTCTTGGCGAGGTTGTATCTCAGTGACGGCAGACCCTATATTCACTGGACTGAGGACGTGAGAGGACATGAGTATTTCTTTGATAAATTGACAAAAAATCTTACCATTAATCTCCGCACCAATGACAGGATCCCGAACGAGTAAATAGAATGTGAGATATGTTTAAATTAAGTGTATGTCTGAATGGAGAATTTTAAAATGTTTGAATAACACGGTTGAAAGATTACGTTTTTTGATAAACGCATTACTTTTGTGCAGCTGTTGCACTTCTTTGCACGCCTCGCAAGAGCTTCTTGCGATGGTTTACGGAGCCGTAAAAACACATCGCACATTAGTTTCAAGGCACTAGACCTGCACAGGGTTTGTGAGTTCACCTCAAGGATTCTTGTAGGTAGGGGAGTATATTTGTTGGAAGGGAACAGGGCGCTCACGAGGAGACTCGACTACAGCTGTAGACACATACGTGCAGAAAGACGCGGGAGTTGTGACCATGGCATAATGTAGAAAAGGAGCAGCATAAAATGATTTTTTTTTTGGTAAAAGAGAAAAAATACTTACCCCTCGAACCTAATATTTCCCTGAGGTAATAATACTTTTATTCGTACTTGTAGTGGTGGTAAACACTGAAGAACACTACAGCATTAATGAGAACCCACAATACCTTTTGGGAAAGAGAAAATGAAAACGAGAACGACCGTGAATACAATTTTAGTTTTTCAATAATATCAAGCAAAATTATCTCATCAATTTCTGTGAAATGGTGTAATCTTGTCACTCCCCGGTGTCACATATCATCATGTAATTTCGCTGTTAGGCCAGCGCGGGGAAATCAACTAAAATGATAATAATGGTCCGACTTTGGCTTTTTGTTCAATCTTGCGATTTACTCTGATGAGTGCAGTACGAAAAGCTTTAGCATGCAAGCGCGTAGCCAGGATTTTATTTTAGGGGCGGTAGTGAGCACGCGAAGCGTGTCAATCACTTACAGAGCGCGCGTAGCGCGCTCCCTAGGGGGGGGGGGTGGGTGCAAGGAGGGGGGAGTTTCCCCTCCTCCCGCGCGAAGCGCGAAAGCTTTGACGTTTCATTAGATTGCTAGAGAAAAAAGGCGATTCGTTGTCCCGTTCTCGACTCTTAAAGGCCCACTGGACTACTTGTAGCTACTTGCGCCCTCTCTATATTAAACATCGAGTCTGAAAGTCTGAATTATCCATGAAACAATTCTGCTCTCATTATATCAGGCTCGCGGGAGTGTTCGAAACCTCGAACCCCACCACCCTACCTCCTCCCCCACCCCCCCCCTGATTAAACGTAAGTGAACGTTATCAGCATACCTTGGATGAGATAAAAACAAATATATATATCATGAAAAAGAGAAGTTGGATTGGGAAAGAAAGGAAATGAGAGGGGAGGTAGATGGTGGAGAGGAAACAGAGAGGATGATGGTGAAATAAAGAGACTGTTATGATGAGAGGGATCGAGATATCGAAAGAGAGAGAGAGAGAGAGAGAGGGGGGAGAGAGAGAGAGATGGTGGAGAAGGAGAGAGAGAGAGAGAGAGAAAGATGGTGGAGAGAGGGAGAGAGGGAGGGAGAGAGAGAGATAGAGAGAGACTGAAATGGTGGAGAGGGAGAGAGATATAATTATGAGGGGAACAGGTCGAGAAAAGAGAGAGATAGAAGGGGGAGAGAAATAGGAAATAGGGAGATAATGTGTGTGCATATGTGTGTGTATGTGGGGGGGGGGGGGGTGGGGATTTGGGTGTCAGTAGTGAGGTACACCAGAATTCCAGAAAAAAACGTACACAAAACGGGAAAGACAGTACCGCAGGTTAAACATGACTAGTGTACGTATATTTAACTCTGGCAAATCAGAGCACTTGTTATAGCGGGCCGCCGGGTAGCCTTATTAGGGGTTTTTCGTTTGTGTGGACGAGGACAGAATGCAAATCCAACCATTGTGGGCGCAAACAAATTTTTATTTAAATAAACTCTATACAAGGGCAATATAAGTACTAGGATTTGGTTCGGAACATTAACTTTTGGCAATATTGCCAATGATTTTGAGAGGGGTCGAGTTGCATTTGTTTGTTTGGGGAAAACACACGTTACCCTATAAACATATTGAGTGGATCGAAATTATGGGAAAGCATTAAGGGATAGACATATTTTATTGCATCGACCATTTTTCTTCTTGAAATGCGTTACGATATTTTAAACATCGCTTTCATCATCGTATTGTCCCCACCGAAATTGTCTTCAAAGTAAAGAAATAAATAATTATAATGCCTGCAACAAGGAGATTAATGTCATTACAATTTTTCATTCTACACCTGGCCGAAAATGTTGAATTTTAAGACATTTAGAGAGCCATAGGCCCCTGCAGATTCGGATACCACTATAAATGAGACCATGATCACTATCATCATTATCCTCATCACCGTCATCATCACCATAAATATCACTATCATCATTATCATTATCATTATCATTATCACTATCATCATCGCCATCATTATCACTATCATCATCATCATCATCGTGATCATCACCATCGTCATCATCATCATCGTCATCATGATAATCATTATCATCATTAACAACATCTTTATCACAAAAAGATTATATTTACCTAAATAACACATATTTTAAACCAGTATCCTTGTCGGACATGTATCGGATAACGGTAGTCGTTATTTTATTTCCTCAGAAAAATCAAAATAAAATTTCAATACGAGTGCCCTAGGCCAAGCCCGAACTGTGTTAACAAATAGCCAGTATGTCATTGGATGTCTCCAATATTGACAAAATGCAAATCCAACCATTGTGGGTGCAAACAATTTTTTTTAAAGCTCGTTACAAGGGCAATATAACTACTAGGATTTGGTTTGGAACAATACTTTTTGGCAATATTTGTAATAGCGCCGATGAATTTAATTTTAGGAGCGGGACGTACACAATTTTGTTTGTGAAAATGTATTTTACGCTAATAACATGCTAAAAGTGGATAGAAAATTATGAGAAAGCTTCATTGGAATACCTATCAGCGTCAATGATTTTATAGAGGGGTCGAGTTGCATTTATTTTATTTGGGGAAATCACACGTTACCTCCTTAGAAACATATTGAGAGGATCGAAATTATGGGAAAGCATTAAGGGATAGATATTTAAAGCATCGACCACTTTTCTTGATGAAATGCACGTCACGACATTTTGATCATCGTACTGATCAAAATCGGTTCAGAGATGGCTGAAATATCCATAAATATAACGATTTATAATATTTGTGGTGCCCCAAGAAAAAAAAAAATTCTTTCAAAAAAAAAAAAACCACATCGTCACATTCGTTTCCTGAAAAGAGGTAAGAAAAATGTGTTCCAACTTTACAGGGGCGTCAATCCGAATTGAACCGTGGGGGGGGGGGGGGGGGGGCATAAGTTCAGTGATGATTAGGGGGAGTGTCAGTAGTGAGGTACCGCCAGAATTCATAAAGACACGATCTCCCAGTTGTGGAATTTTGCCACTGCAGGGAGCTATATCTTTATGACGTTTGATAAAATCTCTAGAAATACTCTTATCACTGAATTTGTTTGAAACCTTTCACAAAAAGAAATAACATCTTGGAATCATCAGCCCTATATAAATGAATCCCCCCCCCCCCCCTCTGCCACTTCACTTGCCATCCAACGATAACAAAATTTGCCCCCGCCTCCGGGGGCCCCAGTTACTCGAAACCAACGACAAGACAGTCACAACTTTATCCGCCAACTAGGGCGATGTATCTGATCTCCCTAAACCATTCAGGAAGAGCTTACTAGCTAGTATCATTTCGTGAAGTCGATACTATCGGCGAGAAACAGAGTGAGCACTAATTTTTTTCTGGCCCTCTAAAATTTGAAAAATTGCATCTCCAAAAAAGGTAACATTAACTTTCAAAAAGATAAAAATACACATTTCTTTCCCGGGGGCGGGGCGGGCCCCGGGCCCCCACTGTTAGGAACATTGCAAGTATTTAAATGAATTAGGGATACAAAAGAATGAAAATGATAAAAGAATGAAAATAATACTAGAATTCAAAATGTGTGTAGATTAAGTACTTGTAAAATAATTATTGTGAGTATTTCATTACACGACCGGTGAATCATATACCCCCCGGATATTTTCATTTGATAGTTTATAAAAATACACTCTCATATTATTCTTAGAAAAAATACGATGTAATGAAATTTGTGTTCAATGTTTTAGGCGTCAGCACAATATAGAAATTACAAAACTTCAACATTCCAAGCGTTAAAACATAATTATGTTTAAACTATTCAGTTTACACATTTGAAGATAGAATTTATCTTGAAATTAATATGGGTCTGAAAAATAGAGAATGTACTTCTAACTATGGCCGCTGCCTGTCTTGGCAGATTACCCATCCCATCGAGGATTTTACAATGTGGAAATAAACACGTATAATCAGTTTAGTGGGAAAAGCCTTAGATATCAACATGGCATTATATATTTTCAGAAGATTTATATAAAATATAAAAAACGATAACTCCTTGTTTAAATGAATGTAGTAAAATCATAACTGGAGGATTTCTTGTCCTTTTTTTGCCAGCCATAGTCTATACCAATAAATTCTGTGATGGCGCCGCCCATTGACTAAAAAGTTATAGATAAGATAAGATAAGATAGTTATTCGTCTTTCTTTCAAATGTCACATAGAGCATAACATATTTAGATAATACACATTTACAACGCAATTTTTTTTTATAGCAATGATAAAAACAAAGTTAACTAAAAGAAAGATGGAGTCCCTGGTAAGAGCAGAGCTAGCTTGTAAGTTTTAGGGTCCCCTCTGGGCCACAAAAACATGATGGGAGTACATACTTGTGACTACCTAAGAATACAATAGGGAAAATGTGGTATAAGAAACAAGAAGTGTACACACTCAACAACAAACCCCCCCCCCCCCCAAAAAAAAAAAAAAAAAAAAAAAAAACGAGAGACGAGACCGTGCGTCCCCCAAAAAAACTATACACTTTTGAAATGGCTGCCGAATAAAAAATATCTGATTCTGGGGGAAAAGTTTTACATGTAAGGAAAGCTCATAAACTAAACTTTCATATGACACCAAAAAGTCCGAAAATAATTCAAGCTCGGGTGAGTGCTGCTCATCACTTTAGTTTGCGCAGGAATTAGCCTTCCAAATTGTGAGAGGTAAATCCTTTGGAGCTTTCAAAATTGAGGGTGATATGATACATTCATGATAATTTATGCTGAGTGAATTTCATGGTTTATTAAACCAAACTGTTATGCATGATTTAGTCAAGAAATTAGACTTATGACGGTTTCGAGGAACGGGCCCCGGATTCTTTCATGAGGATTGTGCAACCGGCCGCGTTATTTTTTTATGCGGCACAGATTGGGGCATGGCGCGTGTTAAACCTATGGGAAGTACGTTCTTTCCCTTCTGAATAGTGTCTGCACGTACGTGAGACTAGTCATGTTCGCTAGCGCATTAGCGCTGCGAAGAAGTTTGTATATCCATCGCGAACTACGTGTTTAGATAACATTCCTCTTCGTCAGTTCAGTTAGTTAAGTTTTATTGACTAATTATTGTGATGTTCTCCTTATTGACGTGCTGCCTCCTCTTCAGATTTCCAATTTGATTTTAATTGTTGATGTAATGATTTTCCATGCGGTAGTGGATTACATGTAACACTATTAAAAACAGACCTCTGCTACTTATACTGTCTAGTACGCACACGACCAGTATTGGTCTGTAAATCAAGACCCCTTTTTTAAAAAAGCCCCAATCTGTGCCGCATAAAAAAATAACGCCAACCGGCATGCGCCCACGTACATGCGCTGCATTACGTAATCATTTACACTAACTTTGTATAACGTGTAGGCCTACGCTGTGTGTGACCATCTGTCAAGGTGGAGAATATCATTCTCTTCTGAAATCATCAAGATATTAAATACTGCCAACCATATTTCCTGATATTTGACCTTGAGATTATGCATTGAAGATGTCGAAAAAGCAGAAACAGAGGACTAAAGGCAACGTTCGGGTAAGCCGATTTCCAACTTTTTTTTGATGGTATTGTGTCCCACATGTTGCAAATGGTGTAGGGTAATAAAGAGAGATCAACATTCACAACCACGCGTAGTTTATGTCCAGGTGCATTAATATCCTGGCTGTGTAGTAAAAGCTGTGCCTTTGATTCTCAACATTTCAAACACCACTGTACATCTCAACTGATTTCACTCAAAATCGGTACTTTAGTGACAATTAATGACAACTAGATCTAAATAGGTCTAGGGCCTATAGAATAAAGGAGGGGCTAGGGGGTAAACGACCAGCTCCAGTTTTCGGCCGATCCGTTGGATGCATGGTAAAATCCCTTTAAAATACATTGCATAATAGCATATTTCATATCCCACACATACCATACCATGCCAGAGTCACTGAAAAACCACATTTGCAATGGAAAATATATCCTAAAATATCACATTTTAGCGATGTAATCGGCGGTCCCGCTACCCAAATCTGAAAAATCGAGTTTCTTACGTGTGTATGTAAGAAATATGGGTACCATAAAATGAGCTTTATTTCAAGTATTTTTCAGATTTAGAGCCCGATTTTGTGTTAGTCGCAAGCTCAAAAGTATCTCATCGCATGTATTAAATCAATGCAGCCGGACTCCGCAACACACACACGATATGTCTGTCTAATTCAGATTCCAACTTCCGATCACTGCAGTGCTAGTCTTCAACCAGGCAAGCACCCGGGAGCTCCGGCGTGGGATACCTGCTCCGCCCGCTTGTGCTATAGATCAGCACGGAAATGCACGGCATGCGCACGCTTCCTATTGACTTTGTACATGCGGTCGTAAACTGGCTCCAAAACAGTGAAAATTGAAATGAATATTGTCATGGCAATTCGTGATTTTTTTTCTGGGATTCTTTTTTTGTTTAAATAATAATAATATTTGCTTCTTGATTTGAAAAAGAAATGATAATAAATAGGAAGTAAAGAGTCCAAAATATAGGATTTTGTCTCAAGTGGCCAAAAAAAATCCTCCTTTACTCTACTAATGTTTAATAGAGAATAATTTAATAATTCAAATTGTAGACGTAAGTCTAGACTCTAGTGTTAAATTTGCCCAATCAGCCCAATCAGTCCTATTGTGTGCAGTCTATGCAATATTGTGTGGTGTGTATATTTGTGTATAATACCTGCCTCGCAGCAAGTATGCAGTGCTAGAGGTCAATACGCATTAGCATTGAATCTCTATGCTTTACTGGAGTGATTCACAACCACAATTGGGATATATCATATTTGGAAGTTGTGGTTTCAATCAACAGTTTAACAGTGATCATGGTGATTGGATGTGTTGTGTTCAGTCATGGTGGTGGAATTGGATATGAACATCGGTTATACTGAAAAAAAAGAAGATTGTTATTTAAACTTTGGATGCTCTAGATCTAGTTCATGAAGTTTGACTTGAACAAGTCAACAACAACAAAAAAGGGTTGATTGTAAATATGAAAAGAGTACCAAAAATATAGACTAAAGTTATTTCATTATGCACACATCTTGTGTCATCCCATAAATCTATAAATTATCTTTTTGAAATCATATTGTTCTACTGTAAGTTTGTAACATTTTCACAAACACAAAACGGAAATCACCAGCTAGATCACAATTTCGATTTTTTGTTCTTCATGATTTTTTTTTCGTAAAAGAAAGGAGCAATATGGACTTCCAAGAGTTCCATATGTACCCGTACTAAAAGTGAAAATAATTCTGGAATGAGAATTATGAAATTTTATTTGTCTTATTAAAGTGTCTACAAACCTTGGCAATTATTCTGTACCCAGTGGTATTAAATTATCACCCTGAGGGAACATGCTAAATATTGCATTATGATACATAGATTCAATGTTTATTTCGCCCCTGTATTATCTGTATAGTTTTAAATTTCTAGCATTTGACAATATACTGTTTAACAAAATAGCTTTACAAATTATATTTTCTATATCTCTTATTCACAGCCCTCAAGCAGTGGCAGAGCCGCTGAGCTGTTGGCCAGAGAGGGTGGTGGTCATGTCGGATTTGTTGGCTTTGGATCGATGTCAGGTGACCTGGGATATGTACCAACTAGTGTGGGATTTGAGGACCAGGATGCAGGCCTAGATGCAGACTTCAGGATGGTGCTTCGTAAACTCAGCAAGAAAGATGTAGTCACCAAACTCAAGGTGAGGAAACATGATTCTGGATTCTTGTAAAACCTGAACTAGTCAAGCTAGCCTGCTTTTTTTTATGGGATCACCTGTATAGAAAGTCCATCTGCCTTTAAAGACAACATATTTGTTTGTTTCTTGTAACCAGTGTTTTCCTTTTAAGCATGTTTTAAAGGAAACTGTACAGAAAGACCACCTGCCTATAAAGATAGATTTGCTTATCTCCCTTTCCCGCTCTTCATACATCTAGGTTTCACTGTACATGTACACCTAAGCATATGAGAATAAAACTCTATGAGGTTTGCTTTCTGTATGTGTTGCTTAAATTTTCAAAGAGACTATATTATACTGGAGAATAGAATTATCTAGATAGATGGCGCTATAGAAATGCCTATTATTATTAGGTTTCAGTAAAAATTCTAGTTGTTCATCCAAAACAGCTAGGACCATGCACTATACTAATGTACATACATGTAAATGTGTAATTTCACTGTGTTTGCACTTGATTCGCCTCAATAGTCTCTGTGTGCCTTACATACATAGAGTAAAAACAGTATAAATGCAAACTGTCTGGTGTTTTGTAGATTCTGAGGCTCTTGTTTTGTGAAAACAGAATTGAAGAATGAATCATTTGATCCAACGTAGACATGTTAACAATGAGAGCAGGAGCACTTCGGGTCAAACTAAAAAACAAAGCTTTTAGATTTATTTAACCCTGTGTGGGGCAAACCCCACCATCGTAATGATGAATTTTATGTTTAGGGATGTGATTCCCACTGGAGAAATCTTTTGCCAAATCCAACAATTAATCAAAGGATGAAATTTGAGATTTAACTCTAGAAAAGGTCGGTACATCTAGGTGCCACAGAAAGGTATAGAATTCATTTTGACTTCTGAACGTATTCAGGGTCTATGGTTTGTATCAGTTTTATTTCATTTTGCTACTTCCTGTCCTTCATTTCAGGCAATTCAAGAATTCCAAGGTCTGTGCACTGAGAAGGAAGAAGAAGACATTGTTTCCTTGCTTCCACACTGGCCAAGGCTCTACAATAGACTCTCAATGGTAAGTTGATCTTAATTGCATAACATTAAAGTAAGGTAACAAAAACAGAAACATCAACTTGGGTATTGAGGCAAGTCCAAGCTATTTTGTCCCATGACATGTTACCAACCCCATTGAAGATTCAGTTTATCTGATATCAAGCTGAAAGTCTTACTACGGATTGAGTCAGAGAAAAGGTGCTATTGGCCAATTACACAGAGGGAGGGAAATGAATGATGAATGCTGAGAATCAATCATGGATGTTAGTTTGTTTTGGGAAGTGTTTTATTGTGATCTACATCTTTGAACAAATTTGGAAGATTGTACCAGTATTAGTTTGACTTCTTGGGGGGTATTTCTGTACATCTTCTTCTTCTTCTTCTTCTTCGTCTCTGTATTCTTCTTTGTCTCTGTTTTCTTTGTATTCTTTGTATTCGTATTTGTATTCTCTGTATTTGTATTCTTTGTATTAGTAGTTGTATAAGTAATAATAATAGTAGTATATTATCAATATTAGTATATTAATTATTACTCTAATCTCCTGTAATTCTAGGACCATGACAAGCGAGTTAGGGAAGCCACCCAGCAGATGTTTATCAAGGTGGTCAGTCGGGTCAAGCGCAACCTTGCCCCCCATCTCAAGGCGATCATGGGATGCTGGTTGATGGCCCAGAATGACCCTTACGCCCCTGCAGGGTCTGGGGCAAAGGTTGCATTCAGGAAGGCCTTCACCTCCCAGGATAAACAGGGCAATGCAGTGGCCTTCTGCAAGGGAGAAGTGCTACAGGTAAATATAGATGAAGATGGCGTAATGGTTTAATTTTTAACTTGACATCTGTATGAGTAAACATTTTGAATATTTCACAGCTATTCATAGAATCGGGCCAACGTTTTTGTGTATCTTGAAAGATATGCATATATATATATATTTGAATTCTTATAAACCTCCTGGATACAATTTGATTTTGATTGTGATTTTAAATTTCACATTTTCTTTCTAGACTCAATGAAAATTGTCTTGGGCTCATTGTTATACAGGTGACGGTCCACAAAATATAATGATTTTATATTGAGTGTTGACATTGGTTTTTATCCAGTTCATGAACATCATTATAATATTTGCTACAATAGTTTTTGTCTGTAGCTATAGATCCCATGTTGCCTCATTATGTTTTCATCCCCCCCCCTCAATGCAAGAGAAATCCCTCAATTATTTCTTGTTTGTTTTCACAGCTTTACAAAGACAATCTGTTCAAGGAAACTGCTGAGACGCTCAGTGATCCAAAGTAAGTATTCTCAAGGTGCCTGTCTCGTCTAGCATAATTTCTATGTACATGAGGAGTTTGAAATTTAAGTAAATGCTGGCTTCTATCCCACTATTCATCTTTTATTGGAACAGCTTCACCTATAAACTCTACCCTTATTCCTAAACCTTACCTAAACCCTATTGCAATTCTCACCCTAAATCTATATATTTAATGCAGTGTAGCAGATGTCACTAGGAGGACATTTAGCTCACAAATGGTTGAGATGAATATGTGTTGAAATCTATTTGTACATGATAAATCTTATTTTTATAAATGTAATACTTTCTGGGAGAAATTTCAATTGTATAAACATATTTGTGGCTTACACCCAGTAAATAAGATCAATTGATCGATCTGTAATTGAAAACAAGTCAGAACAAACCTTGGAACCAGCGGGATTTGAATTATAGATCGATCAATCGATCTTATTTATGGGGTGTAAGCCATAAATATGTTTATTCAAATGATAAATCTTATCGTAAATTATCTAGATAAATTCTTCATGATGATGATAGAATCACTCATTCACTCATAATTCTACTTGAAACAGGTCATTTTCTAAAGAGGAACAAGTTGAGAAGTATTTGCGAGTGGTGAGCTCGTCTCTGCTTGCTCTCAGAGAGTTCATCAATCTCTTACCAGAGGGACAGCTGGAAGGAAGCAAGGAAGAACTGAACACCATTCTTTCTGAAGACAGACTGTGGAAATTTGTTAAGAATCAATCTCCAGAGGTATGTAATAAGTAATAATAAACTGCCTCATGAAAATACTGTTGCAAAAGTAAAAAGCAAGCAAGTTATACTAGGTGGCATTAGAAGTGTATAGAATATATTTAAGATATCTGCATACATTAAGTCACAACCTTTAATTTCTTCGTTGAAATCTGTGGTGCTATGTAAAATTAGCATAGCTACAGTTAACTAACAAATAGAATACATCATGTACATGTATGCAGGCCCATAAACGGCATATTACATGTAGAGGTGTCGTAGTCAAGTGGTTAACGCAATTGACATGAAATGTAAAGGTTGTGGGTCAATCCTGACATGGCATTAATTCCATTTGGCATGGCATTATTCTACATTTTCCCCTTCATACCCAGGAGAGAAATGGGGACCTGGTAGGATGGCGAAAGCCTTTGTGTTAGTAATTGCCATATGCCCTTACAGTAACCATCTGGTAATTATAATAATAATAATAATATTCAGTTCTTGTATAGCGCATAATACGTTATGACATAACATCTCTAAGCGCTTCCAAAGAGCTTTGGAAATTATTACTCTAGCTTGATGAGCTCCAGTAAGAATACTCCCCAGGGAGTGGAGATGGTGCACATTGTGCATGAATGAATTTGTTGGGTAATAATAGCTATAAAGCGCTCAGAGAAGTTATTTTCTAGAAAAGAAGCTTACAGCATAGCAAGTGACAGCTTTTTGAAAATGTCTGATCAATTATGAAGAAAGAACTAATTCTCACACATTCCTTTATTTTGTTTCTGTATTTCAGATCCGTGGTGCCATGTACAGCCTGCTAGGAACCCTATGCAAGGTGATGCCTTCGATCCTGACCCCCTACCTTCCTAAGCTGTGCCCTGCCCTGCTGGCGAGTATGGATGAGACTGAACCTTTGACTGTTGGTCCTCTCTGGGAAGGCATCCTTAGACTCATCTCTTGTGACCTGGTAGGTCTTTGACCCCCTTCTCTCTCTCTCTCTCTCTCTCTCTCCCTCTCTCTCTCTCTCCCTCCCTCCCTTTCTCCCTCTCTCTCTCCCTCTCTCTCTCTCCCTCTCTCTCTCCCTCCCCTCTCTCTCTTTCTCTCTCTCTCTTTCTTTCTCTCTTTTCTCTCTTTCTCTCTTTCTCTCTTTCTTTCTCTCTTTCTTTCTCTCTTTCTTTCTCTCTTTCTTTCTTTCTTTCTCTCTTTCTTTCTCTCTTTCTTTCTTTCTTTCTTTCTCTCTTTCTCTCTCTTTCATCTCTCCTCCTACACCTCACCCTTTCTCTTTATTTTTTAACAAAAATTTGAATTTTATCAATGAATTTTTATGAAATGTCTGCATGTTTGATCTTTGATTTATGTCATATTTTGTGTTATTTGAATTTGAATTGCAATTGTATTGTATCTTTGTGAAATAGATCGCAATTTAGCCATTGGCTGCGAAGATCTTTTTAAAAAAACCATTCTATTCTATTTCATTGTGTGTAATGAGGGTGGTTTCAATCTGTGACAAAGTATGCTGTGTCTCAAGGAGGCAAGAAATGGTGTACAGAGAAAACACATTACTGAGAGAGTCAACTATGCCTATTTGATGCACAATTGCAATATATTTAATATATTTGTAATGCTTAGTTTTTTCTTCATTTCTTTTAAGAACCACATTGTATGCCGCGTTGGTAATTTGTGCATGTTGAGTTTGTCTCTTGAATGTTCCTGAGCTTTTGCTTGAGACTGCTTTTCACCTTCCAGATAGTCCCAACAGACTAGTAGAAACGGATAGAAAAAAAAAATGAAAACCTAAAAATGAAATCCCCAATTAATTACATGACCAGTACACTAAATATCATCCTAAATTGTCACAGTAGTGGGTTATCATTGGGATTTTGACACCATTTGGGTGTTTGCTCAATAACAGGTGGTGTCGATCACTATAAAGAGTGGACTTCACTTTTACAACTGACAGGTCTGATAGGTGTAATGCTCTGTACCCTAGCCTACAGCCATAAGGAATTCTCCTCATATATATAAAATTTACCTTGCCCTCGAAATATGAAGGCAAGATTGAGTATTTTTTGGTGGGAACACTGGTTTGCTGCTTCAGCGACCTTTGCACACACATACACATGAATTGCATACCTGCCTACCCTTTCGAATAATCCAGAATATTCTGATTTTCTGGATTTTTAGGACCTGAAAATTCAGAATATTCAGATTGATTTTGTGTGTGTGTGTGTGTGTGTGTACTTGAGCCAAATTAAGCTTGTTTTATCATGTGTCGCTATTGAGAAATCAGGTATTGCGTGCGTTGAATAGCTGCATGATCGAGCAGCGAATTTGTATTCGCTTTTTGGTACAGATTTACCACGTATTGCCAGTTACACTGCCGCTGCAAGTGCGATTTCTTATTTTTGAAGGCATACCATGGTAAAAATCCTCTTTTTTCAAATGTTGGCAGGTATGGAATTGGTATCCCAACCAAATCTGGTTTAATCAAATTATGATGCAATACGCATGGACACCAACCATTATGTGACTTTAACATTTTTATTTTCTTAGGATTGTTGGAAGCATGTGAACATGAGGAAGGCAGTCCTTCCAAAGCTCTGGTCCGTCCTGCGTAACGGGGGAAACGGGTGCGCCTCCACCATCTACCCCCACCTCCTCCCCCTCCTCAGCCATCTGCCTCCGGAGGTCAAAAGTCAAGACGAGGCCTTCTGCCGGGAATTCTTCAACAACTTCAGAGAAGGGTGAGTGCATGTGGAGTAAGACCGTGTACTGTTTGGTATCAAAGTGAACCCTGTATAAAAATGAAGCACCACTCCTGTATACAGGACATGAATGAATTGGAATTCATCTCTTAGCACAAGACATGCATACATTGTAATAATAATAATACTCAGTTTTTATATAGCGCTTATTAGAATCCCTAAGCGCTTCCAAACTTGGTGATTATTACTCCGGCTTTAGCTGCGCTGCCATTGCGGCGCTCTTGCATTTCAAAGAATTAATTCTTGCCAGGTACCCATTTACATCACCTGGGTTGAGTGTGACAAATGTAGATCAATGTCTTGCCAAAGGACGTTGTATTCATCCTTCAGTGATACCAAATTACTTGCAGTATCTCCAAAGTCATTATGTTAATGACGCTTAAAATTACATTGTTATCATACACTGTATCAATATCGCTATGTTCCTTATTGGCTTGTCCAGATATGGCGCAGTACACCGCCACGAAAAGAAAAAAATCTGTGACGTTTTTGTATACATGTATAAAATGAATGGCGACTGCGCACAACAAAGGACTTGCCCATATTCGCTGAACTCTGTGTTATAAGATACAGAAATGTTATGCTTACCATGAAAAATGGTTTTGCCGCGTAATATTTGAAGGAGCCTTAAGCTGGCTTCGATGTGTTGAGACTAAAGATTATCATTTTCATGAAAATATGGGTTAATGAAAATAAAATGAAAGTTGCCGTCTATTTGCTATTTCTCTCTGATGTAGAACATATCTGTTAAATACAAATATGTTTTTGTGTATTTGTCCGCAAGTGTAGTGTAATTCTTTTGGGTAAAAATGTGCATTTCAACAATTACATCATACCAAGAACTGGTGACTGAATTTGAATTTGAATTATCTATCTAATTGTTTCTTCACACAGACTTAGCTGCAAGCGTGTTAGTCAGAGCATCAGTGAGAACACAGCCATCTTGAAGTCATTCATGGAGTGTCTTAGATACAGCATTGCTCAGAGTCTCTCCAGTGAGAATGCATCTGTTCACACTCATCTCCTTGATCAACAGGTAATTGTGGTAGCGAAAGCAGACAGGATGGGTCAAACAATGATTTGAACATTCAGTACATTGCAAAAGTAGTCACACGAAGTATCAAAAGTGTTTTGAATAGATGCAAAATTCATATAATTTCCAAAGAGAAGCCTTACCGATCAAATATAACAACTTCCCTCTTCAAAATATGTTTGGGGCCCGCAGAAATCATCTCTCAAAAATGTTAGTTTTGAGATTCAGATTTTCTGCCTTCAGCGGTCAGCGTCAAGATTTGGACGTCACAAAGCCACATTTTACGCCTTTTCATGATACATTGTATCTGTATGATATTTCAGCAAATTATTCATGTTTTTCAAGAGAAAATATTTCCATCTATATATAATTTGTCCATAATTATCAGTTGTCTTGAATTTTAAGCCTGCAATTAATCAGTATGTGTAGCGAGTATGATTTTGTTGCAAATGATTGAAAACTTCCATGTACAGCACCATACTAAATGACTGTGTTATGTAGGTAACTTGCTCTGTATTAACAAAGACCTACATGAGCAGGTTTATCATTTAATGCAAAAGCATGTGATTGATTTGTGGGAAAATTCTGTACATTTGATACTGCACATGTAGGCGACCAAGTGATATTTGTTTGGTCACAACAGCCTTGTGATGAGTTCACATGTAAACTACATGAACAAGTTTACTTCAAACATTTTTTCCTTCCTGAATAGTCCTACAGACTACCTGTATCTATAAATCAGGCTCTCAGTTTTTTTTTTTTTTTTAAGGACAAAGAAAGTACTTGGTATGAGGATATTTTTTGTGTGAGTTATCATTTTTTGCTATAATACATGAAAGTGAAGTTTTTGTTTTTGTTTTGGTCAGTGCCTGAATAAATTATTGAATTCTATACTATGATCCTGGCTAAACTTTCTTCAAGCCATACTGTAGTAGAAGCACTACCACAAAATCTCATCTAGTGCCATCTCAGGTCAGCTGTAGCTTGTATGGTCCCGTAACTCGCTGCTTCCCTAGCTGTGTTGCCATTTCCCGCATCGTCTTCTGTCTGCAAAGTGGAAATCAGGTATTGGGTTATGCACGGTAGGCAAGTTGACCATGAGATAGCGCTGTGCAATAAACAGTTCACTGGGGCAGAAAGTTCATCAGTTAAGTATCGCTTAAAGTTTGTTCTGACATTCTATTTTGTCTTTTTTATTTATTTCTAGCTGATGCCTCTACTGAAATCCTCTCTGACTGAAGAGGGCAAGACATGGAGTGTGGTGACCCTTTATCAGCAGACTGGGGCCTTGCTAAACTACCTGTATAAGCAGAAGGTTGGTGATGAGAAAGGATCACCAGCTCGACAGGTTTTGGAGACTCTGTGGTCAGGCATCTCTGCCATGTGTGTGGATCATGTGACATCAGCATTGACCAATCAGGAGGCAGGATTGAATAATACTGCGCTTCTTGTTGCTGTGCTGAAGGTAAGGGAATCTTTAAAGGGAGATTAAAGCTGTAGCACAGCCAAGGAAAGAGTATGTTTTGTATTTATATTGAAACTAATGAGCAAAGAACCATATATGTGTATGTACTGTAAAAGGAAAAGGAGAGAGATACATTATTTCAAATGATTGAGAAAATGACAGTATTGATTAATGTGTTCAGTTTTTTGAAATTCTAGCTAAGTGTAAATGATTACTTACATGTATTACAGATGCATGGTAAAATGCATTGTTATTGTCAACAGTGAATTCTTCATTTGTTCATAGGATGGATCGCATTTTGAAGGAATAGCAAAGCATTTTGCAACATTTTACTTTTTGACTTGGACCAATATTTAGGTGTACTGCATATATACAATGATAACATAATCATTACGAATTGGGCATCAATGTAAAGGGGCATGAACGTACTTTTCTATGATACCAACATCAAAGATGATAAGATACGAACAAGAGAGATATCTCAAACTCAAACTTCAGAACTTTTTTTTAAAAGGAGTTTATTTTTAATGAATCCTACTTAGAACCCTAATGCCGTTGAGGTAAAGAAGATGGGAGCCAGTAAGAGGAGGATCAAGGGAGCAAGGATCAGGTTTGCTGTGGAGGAGGAGGAAGGAGGAGGTGAAATAGAAAAGCAGGAACCCTCAGGGAGCAATGGAGATGATAGACTAGGCAAACCACAAACAAACAATGGTCAGTCAAAAATAGAAGGTAAGTTTACTCTATATCATAAATGTTTGATACATGTTAGCACTGCTAGGAATAGTATAAACATTTACCTTTTTAGTGTAGAGGTAAAAATGAAATTGTGAAAAATTGTTTTAAAATGAGTAGATCATCAGGCACATCTTGTTTGCTCAAAGACCTTAAATTGTAGAGCTAAAAAGAGAAAAAACTCATCCTAAGAAGCAAGTTTAGAAAATAAACATTACTATCCTACGAGTTTGCCCAATTTATCGTAAGAAATTAATAGAGGAAAATGTATACAGGATGTTCATTTGCGTTGTGAATTTCATGGATCAGGGACATATTAATAATGTGCGTGTAAATTGGTGTCAGTATTAGCTTGTGCAATTTGTGAAATTTGTTTAAAATATTTCCCCTTTTTGCGTTTCTTTTTCTTTCCTTTCTTTTTTCTTTTTTTTCATTATGTTTTCTTTTTCTCTTCTTTTGAAATGTTCTTCTTTTTTCTATTCTTTTCCTATGCTGTCTCTTCTCTTCCTTTTCCTTCTCCTTTCATCTCTTCTCTTCTCTCTTCTTTTCTTCTTCGCTCACCTCTCCTCTCATCTTCTCTCTTTTCTCCCAGGTGTAGAATCTAGTACTGAACCATCCATCCAACATCCTCAGCTTCCATCCCTCGTCTCGGACCTCGTCCAGTCATCATTCCACCAAGCGAGGGACTCACTACCTCATCTTCACTTTCTAGCCCAACTCGTCAGAACTTTTTCCGATCGGACCACCATCCGAACCATGCTCAAAGCAGCTGATGTGAACGCTGCCTGTCCTACTCGTACAGGGAGTGACCTCATTTGCATAGATGCAGCATCAAAGGTCGATGGAGAAGATGAAGATGCAATTAGGACTAGTGGAGATGTAAAGAATATTCAGGATAGTGAGAAAGTAGCTGGAGGATCTGGGATAGATAAACTGGATGCAAGGGTGGAGAAGAAAGAGGAGGAAGAAAAGGAGGAGGATATCGGCTCTGATGATGATCTCCTTCCCTTGAAATGCATCTATTCATTCCTATTACCATGGTTACTAGATGTTGAGAAGGACAGAGATGCTAGAAAGCAGGAGAAGGTGTTACGAATGGAAGCCATTCTGGACATGACCGTGTCTGTTCTTCTGACCGTCCAAGAGGAGAATCGAATCCTGGTCGTTGATGCTGTGTGCCTCAAAGCTGAGACACTGCAACTTCTCCATCTGACGATATCCAAGGTAAACCTAGGCCCTGTTTCATAAGACTTGATATCAATAACGCGCTACAAGCTACTGTTATAAGCTACTGAAATCATAGCATCTGATTGGCTGAGAGCAAATTTGTCATAGAAATCTAGCATTCGTTATAGATAACAATTTTTATCCTGGTTCATTTTTATCTCTCCACCACTACTTGAATTGATTCTTGCCAAACTTGACACAAGTCAGTTGTGAATAATTTGGTAAATACAAAAGATTTGGGAACATGAAGAGGATCTACGGCTTGTTCATGCATGATCTGGTATTAAAACCTTCTGTTTGTTTTTTTAAAGTAAGAAGTAAAACGTAAAAAATGCTTCACATTTCCTTATCTTATATAAACGGATAATAATAATAATAATGATAATAATAGCCTAAAAGTCCACTCCAAATTTTATAAAACTGAAACGGAAATTCTTTTTTGCCCAATTGATTGTGAGCCCGGCAGCCACTGAGCAGCGCCAGATCGACGTTGCTCTATCCCTATATCCCTATATCTAATGGAAACGTGTAAAGCTTTTGTTGTGCACAGCTACTTTTTTTCATTCCCACTTTTGGACAAGAGAAAATTTTGATGGAAAAGAAAGAGAGAGAGACACAGAGAGTTCTGAGAGAGAGAGAGAGAGAGAGAGAGAGAGGGAGGGAGAGAGGGAGGGAGGGAAGGAGAGAGAGAGAGAGAGAGAGACAGACAGACAGAGAGACAGACAGAGACAGACAGGCAGATAAACAGACCGACAGAGACGAAGAATGGAGAAAAGAGGAAGAACTTGTCACTGATAACACATTTTCTCTTTTTTAGATGAGAGATAAACCCGAGCTTTCCTCAACGATGGACACCTGGCTCCAGTCTGAGCTGTTTGGTGAGAAGCTCCTCTCCATCCAAGATGAACTCTGCCGTCTCACCCTTGAAGGACAGCTGGAACAGAGCTCTGTGGGATGGAAGCTCATCTCTCTGGCCCTGTCCTCCGGGAAACATGACGGTACGGGCGATGGACCAGTTTACTTTCTTCTTACTTTTGTTTTTCCAGCGTTGGAAATTGTGTGCTTGATCTTTTCATGAAAAACCAAACCCGCAATGCGTGATTCTATTATAAATAGCTTATTGAGAATAGCTGCATGAAGTAGAAATATTCATGTTAAATTTCCAATTGATAAAGCAATATCCCTATAGACTAATCATGACAACTGTTGGCATTGCTGTGTATATTTACATATACGTCATTGTTGTCCTATAGGTCTTGGCTGACCCGTTGTGACCTATGTGATGAGACCTTTCCATCGGCATCTGTCTCCTGCAATCCGGTAGAGTGTATTGAGAGGGTGGCCAATGATGTTCCTAAGACCGTCACTCCATCTTAGCTTTGGTCTTCCTTTGCATGTACACTGACATTAATTTATCTCTGTAATTACTTCGTTTCAGAACCTCTGATTGGCACCACCTATGCCGAGCTGCTCCTTGTAGGATTCTACCATGCTCTTACTAGACCGGATGCTGTCACCACGGCAACCCAGTGCATCAGTTTCATATGTGATGTCACTTCCAACTTCTTTTCTGCTGTTAAGGTTAGTATATAAATGTTATATGTTACGAGTGCATTAGTGAAGGTGCACTGCACAAAGGTTAAATTAAAACTGGATAATGAACAAGACTTGTCGAGTTCATTATACGGCTCAAAATGAAGAAGATTCCTGTCCAGAAGAATACGACCAACAGAGAAGTTAGATATTTTTAAAGTCTGTCAAAGTCGATAGTTGATAGCCAGTTAGTTATAGTTTGAAGTAGAAGGTACGGGGTGTAAATGATTTAAAGATTGAATTGATTTTTCTGTCCACAGGGTTGCATTCATCTCTCATCATCTACTGATCTCCTCTTGGCCATCTTCCAACTGGAATGCAGAGATGCCCAAAATCTCTCAGGTATGTAATCATCAAATTATGTAGTCCTCCTCCTCATCATCATGATGATGATCTTCATCATCATCATTGTCATAATAACTATCATCATTATCATTACAACCATTATCTTCAAAAAAATTATCATCATCATCATCACCACTATCATCACCACCATCATAATCTTCATTTTGTTTTGTCATCATTATCATCATCATCATCATATTCATAATCATGTTCATCATTATCACATCATCAATTCCATCATCATTGTCATCGTCATTGTCATCGTCATCATCGTCATCATCATGATTGTCATCTTTATTGTTATCATCATCATCATCATCATCATTGCCATTGTCACCATGAAGATCCCCTTCACACCAACAACAAAAATTAATAGAAAACCAAAGTCAAAATTTGATAATGATAACTTGTATTGTCTGAAGCAATTTCACCAAGTGTCATCAATAGTCTTATATCAATGCATTCTATTTTGACCTGTTCACTTTCTCTACAAGTAATGCTTAAGATTACAACTGTTTCATTAACCTCTTTTCATTGTAAGATTGATTGGTATTATCATTTTCAAATCTAGACTCTCAACAGCTGAAAAACGTTTTGCAGTAGCTGCATCAAAGACTTAGAATAGCATCCTTCTTTCCATAAGGGAAATTACCTGTCTTACCACCTTCAAAAGATCCCTCAAAACTCACCTTTTCCCCAGTGATTTATGTGATCTACTGAGACTACATTTTTTGTCCTCTTTTCATATATTTGTTTTTGTAAGCGCTAAGGTACTTATTGTTTTTAGCGCTCCTAAATATCAATATTATTATTATTATTGTTTTTGTATTTGCTAGGTTCATTGAAGGAGAAAGTCCGTCAAACTTGGGCTCAAGGAGTGCAGTCTTTAGTGAAGCAGACTGGTGGTTTGCTCACTGATCAAGGTCTGCTTGTTAAGACTACTCAGTGGATCAAACAAACATTGAATGAGAAAGAAGGGAACATACACCAGTAAGTCACCTGATGTTGATGAATACTTTTATACTCCCTACCTCAAATTATCATAATGCTATTTTAACCTAAAAGAATACTTTCAGTCCCCCTCCCTTTCCCACCCTATGTGAACATTATTGGTATAGATTGAGAACATATGCATAAACAAAGAAGTTGATTGTATGCTAAATTGCAGCTCAACAAGAATACATCAAAAGAATATTAATGAATATGTCATAACACTGATTTAATTGATGTTACAAAAAAGTCATCCCGAACATTCAATATTTTTGAAAAAATGATATGCACTCCATTTAAGAAATGTAAAAGCTCTTTTTTAATATACCATACAGTGTTTTCCAATGTAAGAGCAACAGGATTTTTTTGTATTCATGCAATTTTCTGTTCCCTGTTATCCTTTAAATGATTGTACTTTTACTTTTTATTAATTTGATATCTGATTATTCTTGGATAAAAATGTAAATAATGCAACAGCAGGTACATGTACTGTAGTAACTTTCATAATTCGTTTAAAAATTGTATTTCTCCACGTATAATAAGTATTATTACCCGTATCAGACATCTGAGCTGGTCATTTACAAAACCGTATTGCCCTAGTTTTCACTAGCAGTGGGAACGGAGGGGTACATGTATATTCTTTGTATTTTCCTTGGTCTCCCTGCGCGTATTGACTTTGCGTGGAGAGACGAGTGAAAATATACCTTGGTATTTTCCACGGTCTCGCATTTTCATTGCGCATCTATTAATATTATGCGTACGAGAACCTGCGCACTTTGCGCGCACTCTATTGTGACGTAATAATCACACCAAATACACACTGTTTGTAGTGTATCGAAAATTTTGTCAAGCACTGGATGCACAGTGTTGGTTTGACAAAGTTTGTTCAGTTCTTGAGAATGTCATGGTGGATGTCTGTATTTGCTCTAGATGTCTGATTTGGATAACAATAAAAATATTGACTGGCTTTACTTTCGGGGGATATCAGAAATATTGACCGCGCTAAGACCATATTGCCCTCGTCTTTCGACTCGGGGCAATATGATCTGAGCTTGGTCAATATTTCTGATATACCCCTCAAGGCCAGTCAATATTATATAATTATATCCTGCATCAAAAATTTGTCGGCTTCTGATTGGTTGAGAGCTCGTCACATGACCAAAAATATTTGAGCTATTTTTAGAAAGTACTATATGAGAGTACTATTTTGGTTTACTATTTGGGAGTTGAAAAAAAATGTGAATTTTTTTGTGAATTGAATCAATTTTTTTTTTCAAATCTTAATTTAATGAAAACAAAATATTTTAAATCTTTTTAGATAAAAATTGACATTTTTTTTGTTCTAAATTTTTTTTTCCCAAAAATATATATATTTTTTTTTTTTTTTTTTTTTTTAAATAATTTTTTGATGCAGGATATAAAACAAATATACCATGCCTTCTATTCGAGGTACTGGTTAAACTATGGGCCTCGGTGACTCCAAAAGTATCATTTGCTTCGGGGCTGCGTCCCTCAGCAAATAGTACTATTGGAGTCACCTCTTGCACATAGTTTTAACCAGAACCTCTCAAGGCAACTTGTATATTTGTATACTATTCCTTTTAAATCCTGAATTCCCATTTCTGGATAGGTTTGAGCAGTTGGGTTTAACCGCGAGTGCCTTTTTGGCAGCCATCTTGGATGGGTTGCCTGGCAATCATGATGACAGTGATCAGGATGTAATGAAGACTCTATTGGAATCTCTGCTTCCATCTGAAAATGAGTGGGGTAGTCACAGACTGGAGCTGGCTAATCAGGTGAGTTAAGGGAGTGTAATGGCTCAGTGGTAGAGCAGTGGGCTCATAACTGGGAGGTCCAAGGTTCAAAACCAAGTTAATGCATTAGGGTCCTTTGGACTTCCTTACCAAGACATTTGGATCGGACTTAAAGCTTTATGTTCATCTTGTTCCTTACCTAAAAGATTGTACTTCCTCTAATTGCTGTCATATCAAATAACTCATCAATCAGTGAACAAATGGAAGAACACTGGTTTTGAATAAATTTGTCATTATTTGACAAAGGCTTAAAGCCAAAAATGTGTATATTTTGTATCTTCTAAGGTTCTTTCATTATTTCTTCTTCACTTGTCTACATAGACATGTACAGGTTATGTTTATAATGAAATCTCAGAAATACATACATGTACAGTAGTTGTTCATGGAGAAGGATATTATTTCCCAAATCTTTTTCATGTGTTTGAACCTGTGCATTTTTCTGATGTGCAATTTATTTATTTTTCTTCATTTTACAGTGGATATCCTCTGCAGTAATTGGTCAGCAAATGACCCAGTGTGACCCTCCACCTCTGACCCCGACTGACACGACCCATGCACCACAGGCACTTAAGCTAGCTCTGTTTGTCAGCACTCTCACATCAGATCTCAACAAAAAAGTTCAAACAATCGGTGCATCTTCAGGAGAAGAGCATGGGCAGGAGGACGGGGAAGAGGGCGAGGTCATCTCCATGGAAACCAGTGGGTTGCCATGGGAATGTGATGCCTTGCAGTCTGCCATCGTTGAAGTCATGTACATGAGAGAGTGGTGTCAAGCTATAACCGGAATCGAGGCAGCTCCACTGAAGGTACTTCTACATTTAAAACTTAATTCATGACACATTTATTACTCATAAACGAATTTGTAAATGTCCCATATTTTTTTTATTTTTCTCAAATCATGTTGACACGTCAAATTTTCATCAGAATACTTGGAACAATTCCAATGTCTATGTCATGTTTTTCTTATTGGATTCATCCACCTGTTTATGATGCCCTACTTGATTACCCAGGAAAGAGATGAGTCCTTTTCACCAAGAAATACAAATTGCTTTGCCAGAAGTTTATGCAGCCCACGTTTTTTGATCTAGGATTTCTTTTTTTATCCCATGCACCATCACTTGAAAGCAATTTGTAGTGAATTGCCTTAGATTCAATAAATTTGATATTCCATAGTGTTTTCTGGTTCATTATTTATATTCCTGTCATTTTTAGAACAGGCAGGAGCTGTACTGTTACATAATTTCATGTACTGGTACATGTATAACCATGCAAAAAATGAATAGCAGGCATACATTGTTAGCTGTCTGATTTATATAGTGCTCTTTCAATTTCAAGTAAATATTCTATTAATCACTTCGCTGTGTATTGTTATTGCTTTTTGAGATAAATTTCATCACAAATTGAAGCTTGAACATCCATAATGCTTGTTGTAGCTTTCATATCATGTTGACTTATTCTTTATCATTCACTGCTTTTACAAGTTCTTATCAGTGAATGTTCAATGTTATTCCATTGTATTGAGTTCGCAATCACGTTAAATATTTCTCCTATAGAATTGGATTGAAGAATGTTTAACTCCATCTTGAATAGGATATAATCTCTGTGATCTTGTTTGATAGAGAAAAAAAAACACCCTACTTCCTGTCAACACTTTTTGATCAAAATTGAGCCCTAGCCAGCTCTACCTGGAATCCATATAATACCCATGCCAACAAAGCACTTTGTCAAGCTGTCACATTTTTCTGGAATCTTGACTTTGACTGTCAAGAATTTTGCAAAATATATTAAGATTTGCATTATCCTGTCAGTCTGTGTCATCACAATACATATTGTTTACTATTATCAAATTTTCAGTCCTTTGACACAATGCCAGGAATTTTTGCAACATTCTGCTAAACATTTATCCTATATAGAATTGGATTGAAGAATGTTTAACTCTGTCTTTAATAGGATATACATGTAATCTCTGTGATCTTGTTTGATTGAGAAAAAAAACACCCCACTTCCTGTCAACACTTTTTGATCAAAATTGAGCCCTAGCCAGCTCTACCTGGAATCCATGTAATACCCATGCCTACAAAGCACTTTTTCAAGCTGCCACAGTTTTCTGGAATCTTGACTTTGCCTGTCAAGAGTTTTGCAAAATATATTAGGATTTGCATTATCCTGTCAGTCTGTGTCATCACAATACATATTGAGTGATTTCAAGTTGGGTGTTTAAGGCTGGTGTTAGTGTTTAATAAACACTAACACCAGCCTAAACACAGAAATGGAAATCAGCTGGTGTTAAGGCTTTGACCTTTGAATATCGTCAACTTCCGGCAGCTAGTGTTATCGATTTTGCAAAATTGTCGTCTGCTGAACCGACCTTTGTGGCTGGTGTTAATATTTTACGTACAAATGTCCTATTCACTAACACTAGCCCCTAGGGATTAAGCAAATGTTGATTTCCAGTTCAGTGTTAGTGTTGTATCCGCACACAGTCAACGCACGAACGACGCCAATTTATTGTCTGACGATCAAATAAAAATATGTGAAACAGGTAATTCATATATTCTCACGTGTAAAATTAATTATTTTATAAGACCAGAGAAACAGGTGTAAATTTATTATGTACTTTTCATGATATCTTTAGTTTTGATGTACTATTTTTAAATCATCGTCGTGAAATCAAGTATGTGGTGACGTCACAGCTGGTGTTAAGCTATCGATTTTGATATCGGTATCGGGCTCTTAATTTCATCAGTAAATTTTCCGCTCGATTTAAGAGCTCTTGACTGCTCTAAATACTAACACTAACACTAACACCCAACTTGAAATCACTCAATGTTTACTCTTGTCAAATTTCCACGGTCCTTTGATGCAATGCCAGGAATTCTTGCAACATGTCGCTAAACACTTCTCCAGTAATAATATAGAATTGATTGAAGAATGATTACACTGTAACTCTGTCTTTAATAGGATATAATCTCTGTGAACTTGTTTGATTGAGAAAAAAAAACACCCCACTTCCTTTCATCATTGTTTGATCAAAATTGAGCCCTAGCCAGCTCTACCTGGAATCCATTTAATACTCATGCCTACAAAGCACACTGTCAAGCTGTCACATCCATGTTCATACGTTTTAAAAAAAGAAATTAAAATTACCCAAACAAAATTATCATGAGGAGGAGAGGCGTTTCTTAACTTTGCATTCAGAATTTTCTGCTTTAAAAAAAAAAAATCATTGAATAGAGTAAAGAAATAAGGATTCATTTAGAGTCCGATCTAACAGATTGCTTTTTATCCCCTCGCCGACGAAGTCGGAGGGGATATAGTAACGCTGCCGTCCGTCCTTCCTTCCGTGCGTCCGTCCGTAACAAATTTGGTTTCTGATGGATAACTTCAGTAACGTTTGACGGATTTTAATGAAATTTGATATACAAGTGCATGATATAAAAAAAAAGTTCGATTTTGGAGTACGTACAGTGTAGGTCAAAGGTCATAGCTCATTAAATATGCGAAAAAATACACATCTGGTTTCCGAACGATAACTTTAGTAATGTTTGATGGATTTTAATGAAATTTGATATGAAGGTTCATGGTATCAAAACAAAGCCTAAATTCAATTTCCGAATATGTAGGTCAAAGGTCATAGCTCATTAAATATGCGAATCTGGTTCCCATTCGATAACTTGAGTAATGTTTGACGAATTTTGATGAAATTTGATATGAAGGTACATGGTATCAAATTACATGTACAGCCTAAGTTTGATTTCTGAGAATATAGATCAAAGGTGAAAGGTCGTAGCTCATTAAATACCGGTATGCAAAACACCTATTTATATATGTGAAAATGTGGCTAACTTCCTTGCCTAGTAATATAATAGTATAGTCCAATGGAGGTAACTTGTTCTGACGCATATAGGCCATTTGTACCCTGCGAGGGGATGCTACGCTTTTCGTTGACTTATTATATTATATAATACATGTTGCGTCCCCAAGTGGTCTTCCTAACCATGTTAATTTGCGCACTTTGCCAGTCAAGTTAAATTTATTACAGCCTTTGGTCCCTGCTGCACCCATTAAAATGAAAACATCATAGGGTTTATGTATATATCATAGGGTTAAATGTCAGAGAACAAATGTAGGGTCTGTGCTACAGACTAGTGTCAGTTTATAATTTGCAGGTCAGATCCCCAAGTGGACCTTCTAAACAGGGATCCCAACTCTTTGTTCTAACCAAGTTGACCTAGACTAGCTGTATACTCTATATACCAGGCCTTCTCAACTGGCGGTGCGCGCGCCACTTGTGGCGCTTGCGGTCAGTCGGAATGGCGCGCGGCTGTTCCAAAAAATTAAAAATTAAAAATTAAAGAAAGAAAAAATTAAAAAACTCAGCAAAATCAAAAAGTCGCAGTCGAAGTTAAGCCCAAAATGTAAGCAAGCCTTTTTGTTTGTTTGATTTTTGACATTTTCCGTGTTTATTGCACTGAAAATAAACTACTTATAAATTTACTTCCAGTGTAGATTTTACTCAGGAATTGTACTAATTATTTCACATCAATATGAAATTATGATTGATATTTTATGGAATAAAAAGGTATTGAAAATGCCACATCTGGGCCTTAAAAAAGCCCTAAAATCCACTAGCTTCCGGGGGCTTTGCCCCCTGAACCCCTCCCGCTATCGGATCAGTCGCTACGCTCCCTCGCAACACAGTCACCAAACATACAGGTTGGCACTTCAACCTCAATACATTTTTGTTTTGGCACTTCTAATAAACTAGTTGAGAAGGCCTGCTATCAACCATTCCATTTAAAGGAGTAATAGTCTGTTTCTTAAGACTAGATTCCTGTTAACCTACTGTATGTATCTCTCCTGTAGCTGGCAGCTGGTACTGCAGTGATAACATCACCATCTGACTACTACCTCCAGTTACCAAAATATTAATTTGATTTTTATTTTAAAAACAGAAAATGAGAGACACAAATCGGTGGGGAAGTTATGAATTTTCAAGTTGTAAATGATCGAATGCAATTTGGCTCTCTGAGATACCGTACCTTTCAAACATCTCTCCCCTTTGCCTTGCCCTTGTTTTTCAGATGTTATTTTGCTTGCTGGTTGATAAATTATCTGTTTATGAAAATTAGATTTCCAAGTGGCCTTCCTAACCTGTTAACCTGTGGATCTCTCCTTTAGCAGCTGGTATGGCAATGATTACGTCATACTATGCACATCTCTCCCATTTGCCTTGTTATTCAAATTTTATTTTTCTTGGTTGTTGATAAATTATCTGTTTATAAAAATTAGATTTCCAAGTGGCCTTCCTAACCTTGTTAACCTGTGGATCTCTCCTTTAGCTGGCAGCTGGTACGGCAGTGATTATTTCATACTATGCACATCTCTCCAATTTGCCTTGTTGTTCAAATTTTATTTTTCTGGGTTGTTGATATATTATCTGTTTATGAAAACTAGATTTACAAGTGGCCTTCCTAACCTGTTAAAGGTACTATGCCTCATTTGAAGCCAACATCAAATTCTGTAGAACTTTAAAGGAATTATGAACATGTCACGTATGTCCAGCTGTGAAAGTAAAACGTTAGCAGTGTCCTAATATTCAAATTATGCAAGGAAACCCATTTACTTTCTAGACTTCACTGTCAGACACTATTGAGTGAGTGACTTTTTTTTTCCTTCTCTTTGGTAATAACATACCCGGTACATAAAATGAGCTGTAAAGGGTACATGAGCATTTGTCTATATCAATAACCCAATTCTTGTAAAGGCCAAAATTCTTGTAATGGGCAAAATTAAAATGATTGAATCTTTGTGCAGCACAAAATGTGCAACCATTCGGTACAAGGGTCTTAATATCGGATCATTTCTTCAGTCAGTTCAGTGATTGCAATCACTAAAGTCAATTCAACATTAACTAATGGTCGTTATTTTCCCACTTATAGACATTTTCAAGCCCATCCGTTTTGGGAAGTTTTAAATAAATATTATCTTTCAAATGCCATTGGAATTAAACCTTTTCATTTTTTGGCCTGTCAATGGAACATGGTACCTTAAACATGTGTTGAACCTGTATTTCTCCTTTAGCTGGCAGCTGGTACGGCAGTCATTGCGTCATACTGTACTTTTCAAGCACCTCTTCCATTTGCCTTGTATTCAAATGATATTTTTCTTGGTTGTTGATGAATTATCTGTTTATGAAAACTGTCTTCCCAAGTGGCCTTCCTAACCTCATTAACCTGAGTGTACCTCTCATTCAGCTGGCAGCTGGTACGGCATTCATTACGTCATACTGTACATTTCAAAAACTTCACCCATTTGCCTTGTTATTCAAATGTAATTTTTCTTGGTTGTTGATAAATTATCCGTTTATGAAAACTTTCTTCCTTTGTGGCCTTCCTAACCTATTAAGTGTGTATCTCTCCTTTAGCTGGCAGCTGGTACGACATAACCTGGCCTTCCTAACCTGTTAAAGCCTAAGTCCACTCCAAAAATAATTTGCTCTAAATAGTTTAGCAGAAGAACAGAGCAAAAATAATTGAGTGAAATCGGATAACTAATAAGGAAGTTATGAATTTCTGAAAAAGTATGGAACTAAGAAAATCACTACACAAATTGTCAATTGGGTTATCAGTTTGTAACGTCATTGCCTCACTATTTATCAATTGCTCTATACAGTTTAATCCCCAAAAACTTGATGTACCCATGGCTTTGACCAGATTATTTGATTTGTATCATATTGCGTGCATGATATTTCATAAAATCTTTTATGAACTTTGAAGAATTATTTTTTTCTGAATATTGTTCATTGATTTTTCTATAAATATTTTATCAAAATTCAAATTAATGATTTAACTGAAAAAAATTACTCGATATTAGTGCATCCACACAAAAAGATATTACTATCAATATAACTTGGAAGCTGGTGTGAGGAAATAAGATTTTTAGGGGAAAATTGTAAATTCATATTATCAATATAAAGAAAACGATTAGTGGATAGTGAGGCAATGACGTCACAGTCTCAAGAGTGAGTTGCCAATTTGTCTAGTGAGTTTTAACCCTACGTTAACTGGGGGGGGGGGGGGGTCAATTTGACCCCCCCTGTAGACATTTTGCGACTTCTCCAAAACCGCAGCTGATATAAAATTTTCCTTTTATGACTTTTTTCTTTCGAGTCTTACGCATCTGTTAAAACAATTTTTTTGAAAAACGGACGTAAAGTTACAAAGTCACGTGATTTTTTATCTTTGCATGTCAGCCCAAAAATAGCTCATTTTTGTGATTTGTGTACAAAACATATGGAAATGTCATGTTTCCTAAAAAGAGATAAAACATTGGCTATTTAGTCTTGTTTAAAGTTTAGGTGTTTGATTGGGGTCAAAATAGTTGAATTGTAGTTATAAATGAAATAAAACAATGAAAACGATAAAATACATAAGAAATTATCAAAACATTAGATAATATAAGGAATAACCTGGCTCTTTCAAGTTTTTGTGTTGTATACCGGAGTGTTGGCTCAGTCAGTAGAGCGTCCGCCTCACAACCGGGAGGTCGTGGGTTCGATCCCCGGCCGCGTCATACCAAAAGACGTTAAAAGATGGGAGTTGCTGCTACCTTGTTTGGCGCTCAACAATTAGGGATAGAGCAACGTCGATCTGGCGCTGCTCAGTGGCTGCCGGGCTCACGATCAATTGGGCAAAAAGAATTTTCATTTCGGTTTAATAAAATTTGGAGTGGACTAAAAGATTATTATTATTATTATATATATATATTTTTATTATTCCAAATGGTCTAACTAATATATGTAGTGAAAAAAAATGCTTAATTATGAATAATGTAAACTTTATGACCTTATTTGCATAATCTACCATAAATATGCAAATGAGTGAATTTTCAAAAAAAATTGAAATTACCATAGTATTCAATACACTTCACTTGACATGTATGCAAATTTTCGCAGCGTTCGGCCGAGATCTTGGTGGGGGGGGGGGTCAAATTGACCCCCCCCCCCCAGTAAAAACCTGGTCTGAAATAGCCCTGTTAAAATAGGGTTAAAGTTTTCATGTCATTTGCTTTGTTATTCAAATGTTATTTTTCTTGGTTGTTGATAAATTATCTGTTTATGAAAACTCTACCCAAGTGGCCTTCCTAACCTCTTTAACCTTTGTATCGCTCCTTTAGCTGGCAGCTGGTACGGCAGTCATTACCTCACCACCTGACTACTGTCTACAGTTTCCACAGACCTTCAGTCAGGCAACAGAGGACATATGGGGTCACCTGACACCTCCTTTATGGCAGGAGCTGTTTGGCATTGTATTTGATAGGTGAGTAGGCCGTAGGATGAAATATGACAATGTCGTGTTATATCCCTGTTGTGAGCCAGAAGCGCATTAATGGGAAATCCAACCCAAATAGGCAACTACTCCAAATGAAAGCAGAAAAATTTGAAGCAAACTGCTGAAAGTTTCAATTAAATCTGATTAAATTTAACCTGAGTGTACCTCTCCTTTAGCTGGCAGCTGGTACGATAGAGATTTCAGACAGTACCTTTTAAACGGATTGGGTATCTTTGTCTCAGATTCCTGGATTTAGCTCATGCTGCAATCATAATTATAAACCCTTTGGCCCGAATTCACAAAGCAAGGTTTGAGCTCAAACCACCTTTTGTTTCGCCAAACCTCCCTTTGTTATTTACAAACCAGGTTTGTAAATAACAAAAGGAGGTTTGGCGAAACAAAAGGAGGTTTGAGCTCAAACCTTGGTCTGAGCTCAAACCTTGCTTTGTGAATTCGGGCCTATAGGTCAGTCAGGAATCCCATGACTTTCACAAGCCGATCGCCTGTCTGATTATCAAGATATTTATGATTGGACGGTTTTTATAACACTACAATCTATTGGGGACAATGAGTATGGTAAAATCGGTCACTCAAAGATTTTTACTCTTTTGAGGCACTTCATGATCATTTTGAAGTGCAATTTTTTTAGAAATTCAATATTACACCATATCACAGACAGTGATAACACATAGGGGCCATGCATCTAAGATTTGTAAAACTGGAAACATCATTAAAAAATGCCTTAAACTCTGTGTAAAAGTATTTGGTTTAACCCATTGCTTACTGGAACCTGGTGGACCCTGTGTTAAGCCTATGAGAATTAGATAATTCAGTAGTCAAAGGGTTAATGCCCTTCTAGTTCTCATCCAACAATATCTTGTATTCTTTGTTTCACCAGGTCTCTGAAGTCGGGTGGCCTGTGGTCTTATGTTCTCGACCGTTTCATCGATATCAACTTCAAACACAATGACGAGAAGGCAAGGATTAATATATGGCAGCCCATGGACTCGCCCAATGAGTAGGTTTATCTTTGTCATTTCTTTTTTCCTATTTAGACTTCACTGTCAGACATTATTGAGTGACTCACTGGTTGTTGTTTTTTCTTTGGTAATAACATGCATAAAATGAGCTGTAAAGGGTACAACATACCTGCCAACAGTTACAAATAATCCAGAATATTCTGTTTTTCTGGATTTCTAGGAACTTGTTATATCATGTGCCGCGATATGAGAGTTCATGTATTGTGTGCGTTGAATGGCTGCATGATCGAGCAGCGAATTTGTATTCGCTTTTTGGTACAGATTTACCTCGTATTGCCAGTTACACTGCTGCTGCAAGTGCGATTTTTTTATTACTTACTGACTTGGTAGCACTTAAGTCGATTGGACAACTAATTGTCATTATTTTCCCACTTAAAGACATTTTCAAGCCCCCCATTTTTTAGGGAAGTTCTGAATTAGTATTATCTTTCAAATGCTGTTGGAATTTAACATTTTCATTGTTTTGGCCTGCAAAATAGAGAAACAAATCAGTGGGAAGTTATGAATTTTTCAAAATGTAAATGATCTGATGCAATTTGCAACTCTCTGACATACTTTCAAACACCTCTCCCATTTGCCTTTATTGGTTGTTGATATAGGAAATAACCTCATTATAATACAGATTGTCCTTAAATGTTCAGTGCTCTGCCCCTCTCATTTGTCTGCATTTTGTTAAAGCCAACTTATTATCTGGGCGGACTGCCCCTTTAAACCCCGTTCTTTTCAGTAATTTTTATGTCAAAATGTTATTTTCCTCATGTCCATTCACAGGCCATGGCTTGAGATCTGCAGTGTGGAGATGCTACAGACTGTTGAAAGACTGGTGCCACATTTCAGTGACAGACAGTGCCAGGACCTTGCTGGATGCCATGCTGGTATGCTGGTGTCGTGTGAAGGAGATTGGATCACCAGTCTGTGTGGTGAGCATTCAACACTCACTGCCAATCCCTCTGATTTTAGTGATTTCAACCCTTTGAATGCTGAACTATTTCATTCCCATTAGGTTAAACACAGGAAATGTCTGGGGAGTGTTTCACAAAGACTAAGATCGACTTTAAGTCAGACTTAATTACGGCAGGCCGTTCATGCCACTCTTTGCTCTCACCATTATGATCTCTAGCTATTTTATCTTTCAATAATTAATTATAAAAAAATGTAAATTCTATAGATTTGTGACCATGATGTGTATGTCCCTTGAGAGACCAATGCCAGTAAATGGTGAGAGAAACAGTGGCATGAGTGGCCTGCCATAGTTAAGTCCAACTTAGGGTCAATCTTAGTCTTTGTGAAACACTCCCCTGGTTCCCTTTAATAGGCAATGGATTGAATAATGACACTTTAAAAACGTTAAAACGTTGTCCTAAAACTTATGCAAACTTCATTTGAAGCGCATGCATATGAGCTGAATTTAGATTGACTCTCCTTTTTCATCAGCGAGGTATCTAAAAAAAACTCCATGAAATCTACGACTCTATTAATACTAAATAGAATGAAATAGAGCTGCATAAAAAATGATACAATCCACCTTACTTTATAGGAATTAAGTGAATTGAGTGTGCTGAATGTTGAAAGATCTAAGATTAATCATTCATTCATTCATTCATTCAATCAATCAATCAATTAATCATTCAATCAATAAATCAATCATGCATTCAATGAATCAATCAATCATGCATTCAAGCTACCAATCATGCATTCAATCATTCAATCATACATTCAATCAATCAATCATGCATTCAAGCTATCAATCATGCATTCAATCATTCAATCATACATTCAATCAATCAATCATGCATTCAAGCTATCAATCATGCATTCAATCATTCAATCATACATTCAATCATTCAATCATACATTCAATCAATCAATCATGCATTCAAGCTATCAATCATGCATTCAATCATTCAATCATACATTCAATCAATCAATCATGCATTCAATCAATCATTCATCCAATTATTTATTTGTTTATTTACTGGTATCTTGTCGTTGTTTGTTCAATCAGGAGGACTCACTAACCTGACAGTGCTAGTCAGGTGTATCACCATGAATCGTCCTGGTCCTGGTGCCCTGCCTGACCTAGCCTTGAGTACCCTGAGACAGCTGCAACACTGGAGAGAGAAATCCAACTCGGTCTTCCTTTTCAGTGGGTGAGTCAAGACAGTGGATTCACAATCCACAACGCCATCTTGAGACACCAGTGTTTAGTTATTTTCATGTGATGCATTATGGCAAAAAGTTAACAAAAATATTAGCTTTGGCATATTAAATTGACCCCCCCCCCCCCATCAACAACAATATGGTTATTTGTGTCCAAAATCAGGCCAAAATTTTCAGTCAGAATCAATTGATGTGTGGGTTTTGACGTCCATATTCAATATGAAATGAGAGCTGGTATCAAGATTTTTTGTTATTCTGCAATTTACATGTTTCATTCTAATTAAAAACTTATCTATAAGTTTGAATGACAGAAGTTTTTGATCCCCTTGACTTCTCTCAACACTGTGCAATATCTTTCTTCTATAAAAAGCCAGAGAAGACAAGGGCCCGAATTCACAAAGCAAGGTTTGAGCTCAAACCTTCTTTTGTTCCACCAAACCTCCTTTTGTTATTTACAAACCAGGTTTGTAAATAACAAAAGGAGGTTTGGCGAAACAAAAGGAGGTTTGAGCTCAAACCTTGGTCTATGCTCAAACCTTGCTTTGTGAATTGGGGCCAAGGAGTCTTCAATAAAGTTTGAATTTCATCATTGATTTTTGTACTGTAGATTTGGAGTTAGATTTGCAATAGCAAGAGAATTGTGAATGAAATAATATATAATTCAAAATTATGCAATACCGGGTGCGTTTATTTAAATTTTTGGAAAAGATATGTTTTGGATGAATACGACTTGATATGTTTGTGCACAGGGAAGAGTTGGAAGGGGCCTCCTCAGAACAACTCTGTCTCAACATCAAGATGGTGCAGCTAGTGACATGTGTTGTTGAGAAGATCCCTGAAGAGTTGGAGTCACATGACTGGGATTTCATCCTGTGTTCTCTGGTTTCATGGGTTCAGGTCAGTGTACATGTACTTTCTCCTTTATCATACAAGACATGTAAGAGATGTTAAAGTTAAAAATTTTCTGGTAATATATTCCAAAACTATTTTTCATAACCTGAAAAGAGCACTACCCAAAAAACTTTGTATCTACCGGAACATGTAGCTGTCCTGAGGATAATTATATTATTGACGTATATCCAAACTCCTTAGGTGATTACCAATAGCAAGAGTGCAAGACCATGTGTGTTGCTCTTTTTGTTCTGACAACAATGGCTCTAGGCTTCATTAGTTTGGGTTATTTGTGTACACAACACCTGCAAGGGTGGTATGTGACTATGTCACAACCGTCTGACTAGATTGCCAATAAATTTGCATAGATTTAGTATCCAGACTTGAATATCCAACATTCATAATTTTCTTATTATTTGTCTGATTTATTTCAAACTTTCACTATTCTGTTGCTCTCAGACAAATGAAATTTATAAAATTGGATTCTTTAAAAACTGAATTAATTCTTGTTTCCTTTCCCTTTCCTAGGCATGTAGTGATAACATGGCCAGCATAAAATCGTCGTCCATTCTTGCTTCGACCCTTTGTGCCGCGACCTCTGACCTCTTGTCCAGCACGTCTAGACTCTTTGGACAGTCCGAGAGATCGGTCAAGCTGCCTTCTAGTCTATTGACGGAGTGGAACGAGTTCTTCAGTGATGGAGCGTACAGTGTCTTCCTGCCTGCCTTTATGCGGTTCATAGGTTAGTTTTTATGTTGTGTAGTGGTCCGGTGGATAAGTCTTCGGACTGCCAATCACAAGGTGCGGGCTCGAATCCCTGCTGCAACACAAATATCCTTGGGCAAGAGATTAATTTCCAGTCTTCCCACTCCACCCAGGTGTGGTAAATGGATACCCGGCAAGACCTAACTCCTTGAAGTGCTTGAGAACTGTAATGACAGCCATGCCAAAGCTGGTGTAAAAATTATTGAGTGCCGGGAGTGGCAATGTGCCGGGAGTGGCCAGACTTTAGCGTTATACAAGACTCCGCTATTATTATTATCATTATAACTACATGTACTTCTTTTTCATTATTGACACAGTAACCCAACGTATTTTTTATGATTACATCAGCGTAATAGGCTTCACTTTTTTCTTCATTTTAACACATAGATATAGTAAGTACACATACATGTAGGACATTTGTTGCATTAGCTTGTGCACACCTGTTAAATATGATGACTGGGTATAATTCTTCTGTATGACGTACAGAGTGTGCTTTCTAAGTGAAGCATTATAATTGAATCCAGTGACCAGTCACCTTGATTATAATACATTGTAAAGAGATTTGACTAGTTTCTTGTAACTGGAAAAGCACTACATGTACATGACAAATTACTATAACTATCACTATGTTCAAATGATTTAAGCTTATGCCTCTCTTGCACTAAAAGTAGACATACATGTAAGATTGACACTTGTTACTTTTCCAGAGGAAGAGAGCTTGTGGAGTGCAGCTGGGGTAGACCTGACACCCCTCCTCTATGCCCTGTGCGAGGCCGCGGCTTACACCCCCACCGAGCAGCTGAAGGGGCATTGCCTCCCTCCCAAACTCCAACCGGGGAGCACCAGGCACGTCCCCGACCCCCTTCACAGTCTTCTCAACCACCTGGTGGCTCTCCTCACCAAACCCTACAGGCCGGTCCAGACGGCTGCATTCAACATGCTACAGAGGTAGGCAAGGCAAAACCCTGGCTTTCGGAGAATGGAAAAACAAAACCAGGGGGGTGTTTCACAAAGACTAAGATTGACTTTAAGTTGGACTTAACTATGGCAGGCAGTTCATGCCACTGTTTGCTCCTACCATTGGCTGGCATTTGTCTGTCAAGGGATGTACAAATCGTGGTCACAAATCTACAGAATTTACCTTTTTTGATAGTTCATTATTGAAGTAAAAAATATTATCTAAAGATCATAATTGAAAGACCAATGGTGAGATCAACCAGTGGCATGAACGGCCTGCCATAGTTAAGTCCAACTCAAAGTCGATCTCAGTCTTTGTGAAACACCCCCCAGTCCAAATTGCTGACAGCAAGATGCATGTGAACAAAATTGTCACCCCTTACAAAAAGAAAAATGAACAGTGATAGATAATCAAATTTCTCTTTTGAGCTCTCCGGGGACCCATTTTACAAAGCCTTTTTTCAATGACAAATGACAAAAATCAGTGACAACTCTGCTGATAACCAATCAGAAGCAAGGATATAGCCTATAACAAAGCTGTCATTTGTCATTGATGACAGGTTTTTTGAAACGCCCCCCAGGACATGTCATCTCAGCTGAAATGTTCTATCAACATGCATTGCACAGCATATTATGATGGATTCATGCACAATTTGAGAAAAGAATCCATTACTTAAATGTAATATCATTTTTGTCACTAGGAAAGGATAACATTAATCAGATTTAACATTGTACTCGCAAATACATTTAAAATGATATTTGAAATGATTGTACTACATGTACATATAAGTTGTGAAAGTGGCCCCGTCTTTGATTCAAGTTTTTGTGGTATGACATTAATTGTCTGTACTTTGGTTAATATTGACATCCTTCAACCAGTCACTGCAGGGTCTAGTGGTGCACACCCGTCCTGGCTTGTCCTCGCCGGTTTGAAACTGCCACCAGTTCCCCTAGAGAGTGCCGTTAGTAACTTGCAAGAGCCACCGGTACTTAACCAACTTTGCAGGCAGCCTTCATGAAAGTGAAGGCGGTCATTGTCCCTACATAGCTTCTACTACTACTACTAGATTTGTGTTTGTTTTTTATCTCTTTAAGGGTGATGCCAGAGTTTGCAAGGTACGATGAAGAATATCTTCAGGTGAAGAATAAAACACAAGCAGATGATGAAGATGAAGCACCAAGCATGTGAGTAGAACTGAAGTACTGATGATATCGTTAGTAAGTTAAGCACTACAGCTATCACTTCTATTATCTCCACCACCATCACCACTACCTGACTACTACAGCCATCACAACCATTAACACTATCAGTACTACCATCACCATCAACACCATCATCACCACTACCATCACCATCATCACCACCATCACTACTACCATCCCCACCATCACCACCATCACTACTACCATCCCCACCATCACCACCATCACTACTACCATCACCATCAACACCATCATCACCACTACCATCACCATCATCACCACCATCACTACTACCATCACCATCATCACCACCATCACTACTACCATCCCCACCATCACCACCATCACTACTACTATCACCATCAGCACCTTCAGCACCACTAACGCCACCATCACTTACTTTTTTATGCTTCATATATTGATACATGTACATGTACTTCAGTCCCATCTATAGCTTAATCTAGTGATACTTTCATTTAATCATCTCTTATTTCTCTCTTTCGTTTGAAAATGTGATCCATCAGCTTGCCTCCAACTGGTCTTCAGAAGCTGCTAGACTCCTCCACAGCCTTTATGGAAGCTCTTCTGCATGACATACCTGTAGGCGAATGCACCGTTGTAGAGACTGGTAGCGAAGCCTACATGCAGACATGCTCATACCTTCTGGCGTGGAGGCTTTACTTGACAATTTTCAGAGCTGCCAGCATGGAGGTACATGAATATATAGAATTTAGTTCTAATGTCGCATTATACAGGATAAAATTTTGTCCAAAACAAGTTTTACTCTGTATCAAGGGGTTCTATGTCGCTATACTCTATTCAAAATATGAGCTTCAAATATGACTTTTACAAAGAGATATTGTAGTTTAAATACAGTCTCAGTAAACATACATGTATAAGACCACTTGTTAAGTTAACTAGTCAACGCACCAAATGCGCCCAATTATAACGGTGCTCACACGGAACCCAAGGCTGGTGTTTTTTTGTTATCCTTTATTTATTTCATAGTCCTTAACTGTTACCCGAAAGAATGCAAAGTAAATTATTTTATCTTTGTCAAGTGCTTCATACACTTGAAGCTTCCAATTAATCTGAATAATAATATAAGTTATATTTAAAATTCAAAATAAAAAACTTAACCTTGGAATTTATGGGTTATTGGTTAAGGAGTGTAAGGAAATTGGTAGATTTGGAACCCATTAGTTTCTGTACATTCATATTATTCTTTTCAGAAGAAAAAAATTTTGTGTGGAAAAGTGTCGCTTAACTAGAACACCAGGTTTGCCAATTTGTAAATGGAAAGCTGTACAGTATAAGTGTAAAATGTTTCTTTCTGCCTGGTTAAATGATAAACATTTACCTCTGCTTCTTTCAGGTCAGAGCGCAGTATTCATCCTACCTCAAACAGACAAAGGGAATCCATTCCTTATTAGAGAGCCTCTTCTGCCTCATGCCTGAAGATCCGACCTTAGAGAGGTCAGCGACCCCCAGCAAGGGGTCACAGGTCACCATGTTCAGCAAGCATCCAGACTTGAGCCCTAAAGGTATACAGTTAGTCGTGATTTAATAATAATGATCTGCCGTTCTTATGTAGTGCATGCCACATTATGATCTGACGTCTCTATGCACTAGCTTTCATAGGAGTTGGGATGATATTAATAAATAATAATAATAATGCTTTTATACAGCTCTTTTTACCCAGAATTTAGCTCTGGCAACCTTAGCACTCAGTGCATTCAAGAAATGAATCCTACCAGGTATCCTACCAGGCTTGTTTACAACCTTGGGGCTACTGAAGGGAAGCAACGTCTCCTGAAGATGGGCGGAGTCAACCATACAGGAGATGAAGATGATGATAATGCTTTAGGATGAATATATGCTGATTATAAATCTTTTTTTTTTTAAAGCCCCAACGCTCTAGTCTGTTCAGGAGAGATTAGACTTCCCTGCATGGTCACTGGCAGGTGGTTATTTCATCAAATAAGCTCTCAATTAACATAAGAAAAAGAGGATCGTGGGGGACCAATGATCACAGATTAGGCATTGTTTTTTTATACAGAGAGCGCAAGCTATAAGTAGTGCAGTGGGGCTTTAAGTTTCCTTTTGTCCAAAGTATTTCTATTTTGTTCCTTGACAGCAGCATCCCATGTGGAGGTCAACGAGGTGCAGCATCTGGCCTGCTCGGTCTATTTCAGCATCCTCCAAGATGTACCAGCCATCGCTAGACAGTGGTGGACGTTACAGGACAGGAGAATAGCGCCATATGTGGACAGGTACGAATCACTTTGAAGATTTTCAGTATGTACATCTAAAAACATCATGTTTATACACTAGGTATGGGATTAGTTAGAAGACTTCATTTCTGATTCATAACAAGTTTTTTTTTTTATTGTTTAAAGATATGGACCTGATTTTTTACATATTCTCCCCAGGGGAATGGAAAATGCGCACATTGTGCTGCAGGTAAGCCTGATTCCGATGACCGGGGTGATAATTTGTGCTGCGCCTAGAAATAAAGTATTAGGCGCATTATAAATGTGAGCTATTATTATTATTATTATTATTGCAATGACGAACCTTCGTCATTGCCTTGTTTTCGTTCACATTCTTCTTATTAATATTCTTACTTCTTCTTCCTCTTCTTCTTGTCGTCCGGAATCCCATTCGTTTTGCACGTAGTGCTTGTTATTCCTAGTTAGGTACTTTCCTCAAGTCCTTTTCCTTTCAAATTTCATAGGCATAGTCTCTAGCATCTCATCAAGGTCACCTATTTTTTCGATTTTCGAAATCACTCATGCATAACCGTCCAGGCGCCATTTTGTCCGTTTCTGGTCCATTTTAAGGCCTTTCTTTCTTCCTTCCTATCTCCACTATCCTAGATCCTACAACCTTCTAACAAATTCCTCTAGATAGTCTAAGAGATGTTCTTTCATCTGCGACGTATAACCTGACCTTCAAAATGCCATCTTCATACTCAATATTCAAATCTGAAACCGACTCCATCAAAAAAATCTCAAATTCTCGAAAATTTGACCCCTAAATAATCTAAAACTGCCATAACTTTCTCATATAAATTCCGTTTTGTATTTAAATTTAACAGTATCTTTATCTCATAATTGCACATAGCCATGCCAAATTTCACGCTCCAATGGCTTTGCACAACATAAATAGCGCCCTCTAAAGTTCTGGGAATTGGCTTTCTCTCTGTGGCCGTATCTCCATAATGGCTTGGCAAACCCGTACCCTTTTTTGGATTTAGATACTTGAAGATATGCCCTTTCCAGCCATATACAAAATTATATACCCTATCACTGACCAAATTTGAGAAAATTGCCCTCCAAATTCGCCATTTTCAAGAAAATTGAGTAATAACTTCAACTTGCTCTAAACCGGCGATCTTTATACCTACATCAATGAAACTTGGCAGACACATGTATCCATATACGTGACAACTGTCTGCTAAGTTTAGTAAATTGTAATGCCCTCTTTGCCAAGTTATCGCCAAAAATGATGAATTTACTATGCTTTGCGTAATAGCGCGTTTGATGCGTGCAGTACGTTTTTGCGCAGATGACAATGGTTTCAAACTGACCGCACTGAAGTGCCCTTTCGAATGATACCAAGTATGGTATATGTTCACGCAGAAAATTGTGAGTAAATCGCATTTGAACAAGGGTCACTATACGAATTCCGCCGAGTTTCCGCCCTATTATAACACGTTTCGGCCATGACGTCATTTTGTAAGACTGTTTAATTCGGTTGTGTTAGTATGGGCGGCCGTTCGTGCCAAAGCACGCGTCGCAACATGTTCATCATGCACCAAGTCCTATTGGTTTTGCATGCAGTGCTTGCGAGCCCTTTCTAGATCCCTTCCTCTACTCCAATTCCCTTCAAAATTCGTAGGCGTAGTCTCTAGCATTCCTTCAAGGTCACTAAATTCTTCGTTCTCCGGAAACCCTCATGCGTGACCGTCCAGGCACCATTTTTCCGTTTCGGGCCGTTTTGGTGACCTTTCTTTCGCCCTAACTATCTCCACTATCACAGAAGCTACAGACTTCTTACATATTGCTCTGGATAGTCCGAGAGTAGCTCCTTCGTTTGACTTGTAGAAACATGGCGTCATTGCACGCACATCGTTGTGACACGATTGCATTTCTAGTTCTAGTCAGTTTTTGTCACAAGACTTTGGTGTGACCGATGACCGTCATCTGTCCCCTCCCCAGGTTCACAACCAAATACATCAGCCCCCTGCTGTGCGCGGAGGAGATGCGCTCCGTCCAGGAGAACCCCAGCACGGCCGAGAACATGACGGTCAAGGCCCGTCTGTCCACCCGGGAGGTCATCGCTACCTACTCCATGCAAGAGCTCAACATTGAGATGATGATCACCCTCCCGGCCAACCATCCCTTGGGACCCATTGAGGTGGACAACCGACGCAAAGTAGCCGTAGGGACGTCGCAGTGGCGTCAGTGGACGCTGATGCTGACCACGTTCTTGACCCATCAGGTAAGTTTGACCGATTGATTTGATTCCATTGTGTATGCAACCAGGGCCCCGCTATACAAAGACTTATGATTGACCCAAATCAATCGCTAGTCCTCCAATCAATCGCAAGCTTGCAGTCTCCTATCTCTTATGTACATAGTTGCGATTGATATCAATTGCAAATAAGTTGCGATTAATATCGACTCTTTGTTAGACAGAGCCCATAGTGTACATGTATTTGTACTGTTGGTCCACCGATTACTACTTTTTTTTAATGTATAAACAAAACGAAACAAAACAATACAATAACACAGATACAAAACAAAACCACAACAACAAGTACATTGCAGTGCTACACATATACTTGTACACAGATGTGGAGATGTCTATGTGTAATTTGATTGAATCTTTCTTGGCTGAGATCCTAATGGAGCAGGGGTGGGGTTTGAATTGACTGCATACATCAAGAATTAGATCCTGGAAAATGCTCAGAAATAAATCAGAGTCATGTAAACCGAAAAAAAAAGTGAAAATGATTGAAATTCTGACAAGTGTCTGATTTATGGTCTGTTATGAAGTGATGTGTTATTGCTCTATAAGTGGCTCAAACTTGTAGCGCAATGTGTGCTGCACTTTTCAACTGTAAGAAAAAAAGCACTTTATCAAATACGGTAAACCTTATGGATTGGATTGGAATGCATGACACTTCTAATTATGAGAATATTCCTACCAGATGGAACACATTGGCAACGCGGTTATTGATGAGTTTGGGATGTTAGTCCTTCACTTTTCATCAAGCGTTAAATTGTTGTGGTATCATACTATACATTTCCCATCTTACCACAGGAAAAAGATTTATTAGGCCTTTCCCAGACTAGTGTTCATGAACATTGCATTTGCATAAAAAAAATACATGTACATCTTCTGTTTTGTTGAGGAAAAGCTTGCAAAATTTATCATGACAAAAAAATATATACCTTACATATATATATATATATATATATATATGTCTGTATAAGTAGCGAGGAAGTAATTTCCCATACCAAAAAAAATAGAGAAATAGATCAGTTAGTGTCCCTGCTGAATCTTGCATATTCTTCATTCTAAATTCCTCCATAGTTTTATCAACCCGTTTATCAGATTTTTTGCATTGAACTCGATTTTGAAGAGAAGGTAGAATTCTGATAAAACTGAACGATTAGTTTATGAGCTTTCTCACTCTTTGTATGTCAGTTTGGAAGACTATTTTAGCAGAATTTGTTGTGTGGCTTGCAGAAGGATGATAACACATGTGAATATCAGAAAGAAATTTGTGGTAATTTGGCTGTGATTTCACTTTCCCTGTTACATTTAGGTAACCATTTGTTTCCTCTTCTCCTTGCTTCTCAATTCCTTCTCTTCCTCTATTATTTCTAAGATAATTGTATTTATTATGTTGACTTTGTGAATTTCTAACTGTTATGGCCAAATAAATAATAATGATAATAATAATTGTTTTTGTTAAATGACAGGAATTTCTCTCTTTAGAGTCAACTAAAAAAGTAAAAATGGATAATAATAATAATAATAATACATATGATTTATAAGGCGCCAAATCCACTTGACAGTCAAATGCTCAAGGCGCAGCTTGTGCAAAGGATGAAATACATACATGATACATTATACAAAGTGCGATAGGAAAAGTAATTACCTACCGGTAATTTGAGGTAGTTTCATATCACATAACCACATTTTTTTCAAAGTTACAGGTATTACAATGTTATGACCTGCTGATAACATTAAGCTTTGTTTAAAGCCAGCCTTGAGCCCAGGCAGGGGAATCATATGTCGATTGTACATCCTGCAGTAGGTTGATTGTTTGGACCAGTACAAGCAAAAAACTCACAAAAACTTGCTGGCAATCAGCTGCAATAAAAACCACAACTCTCATTCGCACATTGTGACCTGTGTTAAGCACATGGTGTCGGATTTCCTTATCTTTCTATGCTCATTACTCATCCCCTATACATTTTCTATTAAAATCATTTGGCACATGTCATTTATTTGTAACCTTGAACATCCAGTTAAGTTCAATTCTGTGAAAATATATACATGTAGTCTATCATTACCAGAACTGAAGCTTATTATTCAGTTATGCAGTGGTAAACTGGTGTGTTTTTCATCATGACGTGAAGTGTAATACTCTTCCCATTTCTTGATCATATATAACACAGAGCTCTATGAATGTGCTTACGACTTTTGTTGTGCGGCCTAGTTGCCATTCATTTAAAAGGTAAAGACCAGTATTGGAAACGCCCCAATTTCAAAAGATGAAATGGAAGCTCTCATTACCAATCATGTGAAAGAATATGTTTTGACTAATACATGATGATAAAAAATTTGCTGGGAAACCGCCTGCTAATTCATATATTTGGTAAATTTGTTTCTCTCATGGTCTGTGAGAGATATAGGGTAGTCCCATATACATCTTTCTGTGTATAGTGCTTGTAACTTTACGAAGAATGGGCCAAATTTCTTATCATTTTGATGATTCCAGAACCTTGCAGATGCTAGATGCTAGATGATCAACCTTTTCTGATCGATTCCACAACGTTTCTTTCACAATGCAATCGCATGACCATAACTGGTCTTTACCTTTAATACATGTAAAGTACTGAACAAGCCTTTAGTGCACGTCTGCGTTTAGCAAAATGGCGCAACACGCTTTCATTCTACCAGCCACATGACCAATAGAGTACCGAAGCTGTGACGTCATAAAAATGTATTTTTAGAATTTAAAAAAAAAAATTCTTCATTTTCCGAAAGAGCATCAAAAATAATGTCCATATGTCGAAAACCAATTGAATATAATAAGTATTGGCTGAGATATGACCATCTGAATAAATGGGAAATCTTTTTATTCAGATGGTCATAACTCAGCCAATACTTATCATATTCAATTGGTTTTCGACATTTGGACATTATTTTTGATACTCTTTTCGGAAATGAAGAAAAAATGAGAAATTCTAAAAATAGATTTTTGACACTTCACCACTCTATTGCCTTCCCGGATTGCTATGTAGATGCCCCTCATATTCAAATTCATGTATGATTTTTTTTTTTTAAAGATGAAAAGTTTGGACCAGATGTTCATGCCACATGTGTGTGTAATCCAATACATTCAATTCTGGGTGCAGTTCAACAACCAACTTGTAATGGCCAAAATTAAACTGACTGAATCTTTGCGCAGCATAAAACGTACAACCATTCAGTACAATGGTCTGAAAATTAGACTATTATTTTATACTGGCTCTATAGCTCCTAAGTCGATTCGACAACTTATAGTCGCTATTTTCCCACTTAAAGACATTTTCAAGCCCCCTTTTTTGTAGGGAAGTTCTAAATTAATATTAACTTTCAAATGCCGTTGGAATTTAACCTTTTCATTTTTTGGCCTGCAAATGGGACATAGCACCTTTAATACCGAGTCACTTTAAGGCTTGTTCAGAACTTCAGATATGGGGTGGTAACAGCCGCAAAAACACAGCTGTGGTATGTTTACATGAACATGAATGGCAACTGTTATTACAGCAAAGGACTTGCACCTATATTGACTGAGCTCTCTGTTACATGATACAGATATGTGAAGAGTATTAAATACACTCTTTAAATCATTATAAAAACCGTCACAATTTTAGCCACATCATATCTTAACGAGCCTGCATCCTTTCAATTATGCCTTGTACTTCCTTTACATAATTATTGTTTAAACACATGTATGAATACCTCTGCATTTTACATTTGCCCATAATTCAGGGTGTGGGGAAACTTTTTGTATGTACATATGTAACTTTTTATTATTTTTCCATATATTCTCTTTTTATGTTTATTTGCTCAGGTTTATTTTAAATAATTTTGTTGTTGTTTTTTATTTTGTGTATAAGGTACATGTTCATGTGACATGTAAATCACTTAGTATCTTAGGCACTCAGTAAATGTTTATCATTATCATTATATATTTATTTATTATCATGATCATTACTATTATTATTATTATCATTACTATTATTATTGTTTTTATTATTATTATCATCATCATCATCATTGCTGTTGTTTTTGTTATTGTAGTACTGGTAGTAGTAGTAGTAGAAGTAGTTGTAGTGATAGTAGTAGTAGAAGTAGTAGTAGTAGCAGTAGTAGTGATAGTAGTGATAGTAGTAGAAGTAGTAAGAATGTAGTAGTTGTAGTAGTAGTACTAGTACAGTCAAACCTGTGTTTTAACAACCCCCTGTCTGTAACGACCACCTGTCCATAATGACCACTTAAAATCCCCCGTGAGATTTCATGTAGTTAAGATTCTGTACACAACGACCACCTGTCTAACGCGACCAGCGACCACTAATTTTGCTCATCATAATCAACAGAGTGCAACCAAAAATTTCCTAACAACAATTGAAATTTCTTTCAGGAAGCCTAACAATAAACGCTGTTTTTGATTCAAAGAGCATCGAAGAGACGATGAACAAATACGAATAATAATACAATGTCGTTAAGCGTGAGACCGTTCACTTCCATCAAGCAGTTTTAACCAAGTTTTCAAGAAGTTGATTCCCCTTGGTTGATTCTTTTGTTCAGATTATTAGGTGGGGAGAGATGAAAGTGAACAGTCTCACGCTTAACGACATTGTATCATGATTCTTATTTGTTTATCGTCTCTACGATGCTCTTTGAATCAAAAACAGCTTTTATTGTTAGGCTTCCTGAAAGAAATTTCAATTGTTGTTAGGAAACTTTTGGTTGCACTCTGTAGATTATGATGATGTGTTTGATCTTGATTTCAATAACAAGATCAAACACATGATGAAAATCTACTGGGTGCATGCCAATAAGTTCTTTACAACAATAAACAAAAATGAGGTGCTATTCGGTGTGGCATACACATGGTATGTAGACACAATCATGATCAACAGTACTGGGTCTAATACATTAAAGGGAACTGAATTTGAACCCGGGCCATAGGCTACCCATCACTATCATCATCA